GCAGACGAGCACGGTGTGCACTGCATCACTGAGCCTATTCTCCAGGGCCTCAGAATAGATAGCTGACAAGTAGTGCTGGAGTCTTACCAGATGACACCGACGAGAAGCTTGTACAGGGCCGTGTCTTGAGGAAATACGAGGTAGTAGATCGCCGCCTGGAAACCAACCATCGCCGAAAGTCTGGTAGTGTTGTCTATGCATGAGCAAGCTCAGAGTGAAGATGATTATAAACTCGGCACCAACCCTATAGCGACCATGCCTCCTGCAAGCGCAGCGCCAAGGGTTGAATGCACAGACATCACGATCGCCAGATAAAGGTGTGGTAAGGTATCGAGATGGGCGCGTGCACGCAAAGGAGCTCGACCGGTCCCTCCTCCGAGTCGCGGTTATGAACCCTTTGCCAGACGAGCGATCGGACCTATTGACGAGCCCGTGGGTGAGACCCTACGCAAACCAGCATCATGGGTAACACCGAACTCGTCCGGCTTATGAATAGGCCAATGTGGCTGTTTGGAATGATGTTTGGCGCTCTGCGTCTTCTTTTGAAGATGGCTCCCAGAAGACATCGTGAAGGAAGCGCGTCTAAAGGTGAGGTTCTTGCGAGTGGTGCGATGATCTAGACAGGACTGTTCGCCATCATGGCTCGGCAGAGGGCAGTTAGCTGCCAGCGTTCGCTAAATAATGGTAGAGATTAGGCCTCATGTATGCGCGGGTACATTGACGGACATGGAGAGGCAAGACGATTCATGGGATGGTGATGAAATCTACTTGAAGCGGCTCACATTCGATAGAGATCGCCCTGACCATGGGATAGAGATACGCATGCAATTGATCAGGTGAGAGCGTATGAGGCAACGACTCCGCATCTCTCTCGTCGGAGAACCATAGTATACCGATAAAAATAGGCCATCGATGTGCGGAGAACGGCAGGCCATCGCGGTACAGTTGTTTCGCTGTGCTATGCTTTCACCGCCGAGGCGCGCGACGCTTGGTCTCTTGGCGTAATCGTGATGCGCATAGCCTGACTGGTCAACAGCTTTCGTCTCTTGCTGAGTGGCTGACTGGAGCTTCAGCAGTGAGAGGTATGATAGGAAGATGATGGATTACGGGGACGTCTACTGAGGTGGTGGTGTATTGCAGAACGTGGAGGCGTCCGGGGCGCTCCGTCGCGCCTTCGGTCCGAGCATCCGTGACCACGAGGATCGCCGCGCGTCAACTTGAACGTACTTCTTGTGACGAACCACGACGATGCTACGTGCAGGAGCTCGTGGCCGACTTCGGCGGGCTCGTCTACTATGCTTATGTCTTCCCACTCAATCACTCTGTGATCAGATGAGTCGGAGAAGCGTCATGGGCGTATCGGCATGCGCTCCGATTCAACGTTGGTACTCGTACAACAAGGACAAAAGAACATCTATGCTACATACTCAGGCAACTGTCGTAGTAACTCAAGCGGAGGTAGCCCTCCCACAAAGTTGCCTGAGGCAACTTCATACGATGGTAATCGCATGCTCAATGGTCGAGCTGCACAGAAAACGCGATCCTGCACATGTGCACTATAACACGGTGGCGTATGCTCGCGTCCCCCAAGACTGCAATGGGCCTCGCCAATGGCTGGGCCGAGCGCCAAAACTCTACTCTCCATCGTCGCTGCAACCACCTCGGGCAGGAGGCGGCGATCAAGGATGTGAACCGGGAGCCGACAGTCGATGGCCGATGTCCCTCCTGTCGCGCTGACGATGTAAAACGAACAGCAAACGTGATGGTCGATGAGGATGGGCTCGATAGTGCTGGATGGTGCGGTTGTCGGTGGAATCTTTATTGAAAGAAGAACTGAGACGTCGTGCTCAGAGCACTCAGTCGACGTCGTCGCGCGCCCGGGATGCACTGATCTACCGTGACGTAGTGATTTCGACGATTTCGAACGCAGCATACGCCGTATGCCGCCTTCGGAAGACGCTTCCCGGTGAAGTTGGAGGATGTCGCTTGCTATATCCAGAACTTGTGGTCCTCCGCCTAGCGTACGCCTAGTTTCCCTGACGGTTATCCTGGCCCGATGTAAGACTGAGCCCTTCTCGATGATAGAAGCCTTGAAGACGGCCGACAGAGTCTCCCCTGCGGCCCACGCCTTATGTGGCACGGAGAACGAATACATGAGTTGACCGCGGATGGTCGCCTCACGCTCGAGCGACTGTTGGAACTCGAGAGAATCGACGGGGAAGGATCGAATGAGCTGCAGAGGGACGGCGGGGCTCCTGGCTGAATGGCGCTGATCACAGCATACTGCGATCGCGCACAGGCTATATCGAACGAACACGCCGCGGCGCGTGGCTGTTTCGCACGTGGATGGAGGCAGGCTTCCGCCGACTGTGACCTGGAAGGGGAATGCATGTCTTCCGGCTCCTAGGAGCCTCGGTGAACCGAGTAGTGACCACTCCTCATTGCAGATGTCATATACGGTCGTCTCTAGGCTGACATAGAGGGTCAGTTAGAGTGGCGATACTGCGCACATGCGGAGTCCCGCTCACCTGTCGTGTCTTGACGCAATGGAGACGCGCCCGCAAAATCTTAACAGGACGTTGTTGAAACTCGTTGGCTCGAGAATATCGAGCACCACTTGCACGCGGAGGGTAACCGGTGGCGCATCCACAGTCGCTCCCCTCAGTACAGCACATTGTGCAGAGTCAACGTGTACTGCGAAGCGAGTCGGCGTTCTGCTGGGGAGGACCGCGCCCAACAAGCGACGCGATGACTTCAGGGATTCCATTACAGTGCTGTCTTGCTCTAGAGCAAGACAAGAGAGGACTTGGATGCGAGTATAAGAGATTCAAGGAGAGCCGGGACCAATGGTGCCACGAAACGGCGGGTTGCGCTATACATACCGTTGCTCAAATCACATTTGTCGGCATAGACCGATTCGTTTTGCTCCTTCTGGCTGGGTGGGAGCCATTGACAGCTGGTGAATACATCGAAATTTGCATCGCCGCCGCCGTCACGATGCTGTTTGCGAGTACGACGGTAGTTACCGGAAGGTCAGCCTTCTTTCTGGTGCGTGTGGTTCAGGACCATTCTATCCGAGCCTGCTCCTGACCCGAGGAAGCATGCTAGATAGAGAATGAGACGCTCGCGCAAACGCTCAGATCGCCCCGGTGCCCGCACGGTTAGTCTGATACAAGTCGAACCCCTCGAACATGCGAAGTTCGTCGATGGGCCGCTATACCCGAAGCTCGCGCAGGGTATCCTCAGCGCTTCGCCTATGAATCCATCAGAGGATATGATGGAGCATTGGACGGCGAACTCGTCGAAGTTCGCGCGTTGTTCGCGCGTCTTCTCGGGGTTCTCCCCTACTTATATTGAAACGAGATGTGGAGACAATGGACTATTGACTCAGATTGCAATCTATGATATCACTAGAGGCAGCTTACAGGATGCACTACAGAATGTGTGGTCGTGATAGAGGCGGCGTGTCAGAGTCCTGTCAAAGATCGTAAGAGTGATTCCCAAGCGGCTTGACGGTCCCGACGGAAGCGGTACCGCGCAGCGTACACGGGGCATCAGTTGCCACAACGCCGTAGAGGCGCAATTGCGAAGTGTACAACAGTTCGCCATCATACATACGCTCACATGTGGGGCCAATACGCATGGTGGACTCGATCACCGTTGATACGATTTGGTGGGGTTGAGCAAACCCGGCTCTTCTCATACCAGTCTGGAAGTGTATTGGTCGCGTATCTGATTGTCTTCTGGACCCAATTTCCGACATAAACCGACTAACAACGATGCTTGTCGGTATGGATTGAGACCACGGAGCCGTTGAATGGACTCACGGCGAAGCGTTGGAACTCGGGTTACATGGCCGTTATGGGACGGACTAGACAGGCATATTCCTGATGCCTTACTTCAAGCTTCAAGAAGCCACAGAAGACGCGTTCGAATGGGGACGTAACGGAGAAATCTCCTTCAACATTCTCTTATTTAGTCATGCTTCCATAGCACTCCGGCTCGTGTACATCTAGAATGTATGATTGTGGGCGCGTTACATTGAACAGTGTCAATATCCGAGTAGATGGTAGTTGCATCGAGGGAAAGACGCAGATCGTGATGCTTGTGAGTATGCTGCGAGCAGCATCAATCAGACGTCGCCGGAGGGAAGGTATGCGCTTTCTCATCCCCTCTCGGAGCGCCGAACAGTTGCAACTCCTGGTCGTATGTGACGTGGTGCGTCGTGTCCACAATGACCTCGAGTCGACTAGGTGATCCCTGGTCGACGGGTCAGCGCATGTCTAGACTCATATGGACCGTAAGAGATGCTACTCACTCTGCCTGTTTCGACAGCCTCTGCGTCCATGAGTTCGCTGTCTTTGCTGGTGGACCGGGCGGTCTGGTTTTGCAACCGTGGAGTAGTGGAGTCATTGCCAACGGGGTATCCAGTTACACGGCCGCTGCGAGTCATCACCAAGCCCATCTGCTGACGGCGCGGGAGGTTGTAGCTATGCCTGAACCAGTTGCGCAGATTCAAACTGAAGGACTCGGCGTCAGCATCGTACTCTCAGTGCACGGACCACGACGTTGCTTACGTTGCAAGGAGTGAGTTAGAGTATACTATTGAAGTATGTGTCAGTATCAATCAGAGCGTGACCGCTGTATGAGCGTACGTTTGGCGATGGTAAAGTAAACTGCGTAAAGAGGTCAGTATCAACCCAAGTCAGCGTGATAAAGACGCTCACTTCCGAGATAGACAAAGTTATGCGGCATAGCGAGCCACTAGAAAAGGATGGCGTCAATGGCGTGTGTGATTCAACGGTTGGAGAGTCTTACGCAAGCTATGGAGGCGATGACTACCAAGCAGGTGAGCAGGCCATCGTTGATGGTGAATACGACGGTAGTATCAACCATCTCGCGTGTCCTGAGAGTGCGTGAGCAGAGATCATATGGGATCGCTGCCTCGCACGTACACCACGTATCCATCCTTCAGGTTACGGAGGTACCAGTAACGCGCGATCGAGACGTAGACATCCGTCACGGCGGAAAGAATGAGACCGGACGTGAATAAAATCCTGAACTTGGCCGCGAAGGCGGGGAAACTGCCCTCTTTGATCCTGTAGTGCGAGCTTGTTAGCGATCACGCATCCCACAGTGGATGAACTGAACACGAACATCTCGACAGTGGTCGCTAAGCATGTCAAATGTCTCGATCAGTCGCCTGTCAGGAATGCATATGCTACAGCGCTCACTGAGACCCATGCCTAGGATGAAATCAGGGCATGCTGATAGAAGGTGAATGCAGAAACTCACCGACTCGCGCAATTGAAAGAAAGATTATGGGACCGGTGATCCACCAGTTATTCTTGCTTACTGGTTCGCGGATGCCGTTCAATCGGAGCCCTCAAAGAAGTGGAGACCGACTTACGTCTGTGGATCCTGTATCCGTAGAAACTGCACAGCTGTCAGCCCGCCTGTCAATTGCAATCAGAGAACAGACTTACGCGTTGACGCTTAAGGTGATAAAACCGGTTAAGGTAACGTTGATCTGCGCGGTAGTGATAAGCGGACAGGGGTGAGACGGAGATGAAGAATGATGGCGCGTACAGCGACAGGCGGGAAGATGTGCGAAGCGATTTCTGGATTGTTGAAGTTGCTGATCGTGTAGAGCCAGACCGAAGTGCACACGAGAACGGTATGTGTTGCGTCGCTAAGCCTGTATCCGTAGAGTTCAGCCGCATGGGTCAAATATCATAACTGGAGAAAACTCGCCAGATCCAGGCAACGAGGAACTTGTACGCAGAGGTATCTTGCGGGAATATGAGGTAGTACAGAAATGTCTGGAAGCCAACCATGGCGGAGAGTCTGCATAGAAGGTAGTCGTATTCCTACGTCAGATCAGAGTACCAGCAGAAGAATAATACGTTATGCGCACCCTACGGCCACCATGCCTCCGGCGAGAGCCGCACCAAGCGTTAGATAAACGGACATCGTGGCTCTGACTGTGCGACTGCAGGTCGGAGCAGCTGGAGGGAAGTGAAACGAAGTCCGAAAGGCGGTGATCGACTTTCTTCTTCATCCTTATGTCTCTCGGAGGCTGACGACGGGGAGCGCTGGCGACGCCGTGGGTATGAGTTTGCAGGGGAGATGCATCATCGGCCTCACCGCACGGCGGAGGCCTGTGTTTCCAACACAAACAAGCGAAAGCCGTTGATCTCGGTGGTGTACTCCGTCTTCGAATACTGATGGTTCCCATGTGAGAGGAAGACAAGGAAAGCGCCTGCCATCCGAGGCTGTGAGAAGGCCAGGCCAAGGTTTTCGCACCTATTTTGGGGTACATGCCAGCGCGGAGAACGCCGTGGGCTTGATTCAAGAGCTTGACCAATTCGGACGACCGTCGGCGAGGTTCACCATACCAATGATTGCTCCAGCGATCTGATTGTACTCTGTATTGAGTTTACGGCAAGGGCTCTCGGTCTCAACCAGGTTCGCTGAGAAGGAATCTTCAAGCGGGGTAGCGCGCGGCGAATCGCGAGGTAGACTGCGGGGAAGTGGAAGGCACGGTGGAATGAAGACCGCGCGGTAGGCAGATCGTCATGCATACTCCAACGTCGATGTGCAAGCGAAACGTATGTCGCAAATGACCGGCGCGGTCTTCTCGGGACCCATCAAGGGTGGTGAACCGCGGGATCGTGCGGTTCAGATGAGATGCGGGCGCGTCGCGGGGACGAGTATGAACATTCGGGCAGCTTCCCTGTTGAAATATCACTTTGGTGCTTCTCCTGTTGAAATATAGGGTTGGAATTCTCACATCGACTGGACTATAGGTCATATTGGGATGGATGAGACTGGTCGAGGGCTAGAAGGGTTTCATGATGGACGATGACACGAGTGTCATCAGAGCGTGTGCCCTTGTAGGGTCAGTATTGTGATGGGACAGACAGGAGCGGTATCTGGACGGTCCGCGGCGACATCAGCATCACTGGCAAGTATGTCAAGCTCAGACTCAACGCGACTCCTGCCCTCAGCGCCTTGACTTGATGGGAAACCCGCGTTGAAAAGTCGACTGTAAGATTGAGACGTGCAAAAGACGACCGTCTCGCATATACACCCAAATTTGAGTGCAGTGGCGCGCATATTGAGCACGAGTCAGGAGATATTGGTGTGTACTTGAACATAGACTTCTACCGGAACGTCCTTGCTCGAGGATCTTGTTATTGAGCCATACACTGGTCTTGGCTTGAGAAACACCCCTGTTGTTGATTGGACGATCTCCTAGATAAAACACCTCCATGCAAGTCACCAGTCCTCTGGCATCATGAGAAGAGCGCTGGGAGGCGCCGAGGTGGTGCATGTTCGTGTCCTCCGGCTGTCATTCGGCGGGTCTCGGCGCTCGGCGATGGGCGCTCGAGCAAGCAGAATACAAGTTTGCAGACACAAGCTTGTTTCTCGAGACATCCTGTCGTGGTAGGCTGCTCAGCTTAGGTGCACGCCGAAGACTATAGATAGCGAAGTGATCATTCCCGTACGTCGCCGAATGCATCGTCGTGGTCGCGGGCAAAGTCGCGCCGCCACAATGAGCGCACTGATGGCGGCGCGGCACGGTACCGTGGGAGTCGTCGGCATCGGTGCAACATTGAGCCGCCCGGCCTTTCTGTTCGCTGCGAGGCCTGCCTTGCGCCCCGACCGGCATGTCCTCTGGCCGTAGAGGCGCTCAACGCTGCCGACCTTGGCGTGCCCGATACTCTATGCATATGTTCTTCTTGCGATCCGTCCCGAGCTCGGCACGTATGCCTGAATCTGCGGCGTTAGTTACTCGCACGTAAGGGTACAAATGCGCTGTCCGCGCTTTCGCGAGGATGCCGCGACGCCTCCGCTCAGGCTCTGCACTTTCTGGCTGCGCTGTTCGCCGTGACTGAAGTCTCGACATCTCTGACATACATCTCATACAAGTATGGCCTCCTCGCTATCTCTGGGTCGCAGGATCCTCGCCATGATCACGCCCCAGCCTACCTCGAGCATAGACGTTGTTCTCGACTCTGGCTCTGCATTGTTGCTGGGCGCGACGGCGGACGCCTCTCCCGCACTTCTCCGCGGGCGGGTGATACTGGAGTTGGCAGAGCCGATGAGGATCCAAGAAGTGTCGGTAAGGTTCAGAGGGCGGGCCTCTGTTCCTGCTGTTAGCGAATCCCTGGGGGACGCAGAGTGAGTTGAATCACATCTTGACGCCCAAATGCATTCTGACATATGTAGCGCTCCTTCTGCATACACCGTCTGCTCGGAGAACTGGCTATTATTCGAGTCGGCATCTCCCGACGACTCACTCCCGGCTGGGACACACACTTACCCGTTCAAGACATTCATCGGTGGCAGCCTTCCCGCTTCCACAACAGACTCTTCACCACGTGGTGTATCTGTCGTATACTCGTTACGCGCGATGGCAGTGCGCGCAAATAAGCGGCCTAACCTCCGGCACACGATCACCGTTCCCGTCTTGCGCTCCTTCCCGTCCGACTCGCTCGAGTTCTTCCAATCACTCGACCACGAACATACTATCCCGGGGCAGCTATCATACTCGCTCTCCCTGCCACACAAAGCATGGGCAGCCGGCGATACTCTATCTGCGATCTTTCACGCCTCGATGCATACGAAGGAGGTCTCCATCCGGGCAGTGAAGACATGCGTCACGCAGACGCGGCGGGTGCTGAAGCACGGCGAATGGGAGCGGCAAGTCGAGACGATTGCGAGCGGCTCGCACTACGTGCACAATGCACCGGAAGGCACCCGCGTCCTTAAATCTATCCTCGGAAACAACTCGAAGCGCACGCGCCACGTCGCTTTTGCGGAGGAGGACGAGGGTTACTCGTCGGGATCCACCCTCTCCCCAGTCAATCAGCTCACAGATCGCGACATCTCTGTCGTACTGGATCTACCCATACCTCCATCCACATCGCCTTCGCACTCCGTCGCCCCTATCTACGTCGATCACCACGTGAGTTGGACCCTCACCATCGTCGACGCTTCTGGGAAAGCTCGCGATCACCACTGTCGCCTGCCACTGCATATCCTCGACCATAGGCTACTCCTTGAAACCGTCGCAGCGACACTCGCAAGTCGCTTGCAGGCTCTCAACGGCAGTCCGAGTAGTTCAAGTGATTCGACGGAACTGCCAGAAGTCCACACACCACCGAGTTATCAGGCGCACGTGCAGGACCGGGTGCCCGAACTGTATGTCCTTCCGGAGGTCGCGGAACGGAGCTCATCGCTTCTCAACATCATCCCCCCACCACGAAGCGCCGACTTTAGCTTGGCACCGCCGGCAAGTGCGACGCCGTCGTATGAGGATGCGGCGAAGGGCTTCCTTGGGGGTTTACCGCCGTTGGAACTATTGCGGCAGTTACCCAGATATGCAGAAGTTTAGCGAGGTTACGTTATCTTGTTATTGGTTTCGGTCGGACGTTGTGGCCTTGTCCGTGTTATGTCGCTGTGTTGTTCTTGTCATGCTATCCTTGAGCTGTGTGTATATCCTACCAATAATACTCCTTTCATCTTGCGGGTGCGCGTGTGAACCTGCATGACACGTCCACGCTCGAGGCATTGGTGAGTACTATATGTGATGGAGATATGGTACTTGGAGCTGACGTGCAGTCGTGCAGACGGGGAATAGCTGCTTGACACAGCATAAAGTTGCATCAGCTTCAGCAGATTGTGCGTGACCATGTGAGGGTCCCGTCAAACGCCACCCAACACCCGTCCTACGGTTCACAGGGCCGGACAGCTGCCGTATGCATCTCGGGTTCTCTATCTTGACACATACACAGACCAAAAGCACCATCTATGCCATGCACCGTCTCCTCTTGTCAACATCTCCCCCGCGACTCGCACAGCGAGCTGGCGTCGCACTTCGGCATATCTTGAACTTTCGTCTCTCAAGCTCAAGGTTGACCTCCTTTACCGTCCTTCATTGGACCTTTTGCGACACGTCAATGGCCTCAAGGATGAGCCGTCTCACTCTCCGAATTTCTACCTCCAGCAAATGCGCACAACTTTCATTCCTGAAATGGGCTGACGCTGTTGATCTTGGTATATAGAAGGCTTCGAGGGCGATTAGACGTCGAATGCTATGCCGAGCGGCGCGCGGCGGCTTCACCTTAGGACGTCGACACGGACAAAAACGCGCTGGCAATGAACGCAAGTATGCTGTTCATCTTGCCTCCAGAGCTAACCTTCATACCGTCAACCTCCGCAGAGGCTGTACGTGGTGGGGAAGCATGACCTCCACATCGTCTTTGGGAAGCAAGATCCTTGCACTGTTCACCCCTCAGCCAGCATCGAGCATCGGCATCATCCTTGATTCCGATCCAGTCTTGCTGCTGGGATTCACTACGTCTGCCTCGTCTACTCTTCTTCGCGGAAGGGCGGTACTGGAACTCCTCGAGCCGACGAGGATCCAAGAGGTCTTGGTGAGGTTCAGAGGTCGAGCCTCGGTGCCGTCCGTCAGCGAATCGTTAGGCGACGCTGAGTACGTTCATCATTGTGTCTGTGTCTACCGGCGCCGGCTGACATACGCGTAGCCACAAGTCGTACGATGTGTGCTTGAAGAGCTGGTCAGTCTTCAGAGCCACAGCTGCCGGCGATCTACTTCAGGCGGGGACATACACCTATCCGTTCAACACCTTCATTGGCGGAAGTCTTCCTGCATCAACCGTCGAGTCAGCAACTTCCGGGTCCTATGTCACCTACACTCTACAGGCCACAGCCGTACGCTCTCAGCAGCGATCGAACCTTCATCGAATGATCACCGTCCCAGTCCTGCGCTTTCTGCCGTGCGACTCGCTCGCATTCTTTCAATCGCTCGACCATGAAGCGACGATCCCAGGCCAGCTCTCATACACAATGTCGCTACCACACAAGGCATGGGCTGCTGGAGACACCCTCTCTGCCATCTTCCGCGCCACGATATACACGAGGAACGTCTCTATCCGCGCCGTCGAAACATGCATCACACAGACGCGGCGAATGTTGCGCTGCGGAGACTGGGAGCTGCAGGTAGAGGCGATCGCGCGTGGGCTACGCATGATGCACCGTTCTTCCGCAGAGCACTTGGAACGCGAGATCTCTCTTATCCTCGATCTCGCTATACCATGCTCTGCGTCTCCCTCGCACTCTGTCGCGCCCATCTACGTTGAGCACCACGCAGAGTGGACGATCACCGTCGTCGACGCGTCAGGAAGGGCCCAAGACCATCATTGTCGCCTGCCTCTACACATTCTCGATCGTCAACTTCTACGCGAAACGGTGGCCGCTACACTTGCTACCCGCCTGAAAGCTTTCAGCGCGGGCTCAGGGTCACCCAATGGTACAGTCGAACTTCCTGAGGTACACACCCCGCCCAGATACCAGGCACACGTTCACGATAGAATCCCGAGGTCGCAGGTTCTACCAGATGGGACGGCGGCAATGCAGGGCACAGCGCCGTCATACAGTGCTACACCCTCATACGAGGTTGCAGTGAGAGGTTCCCCTAGTAGCTTACCGCCATTAGAGTTGCTACAGCAGTTGCCGAGCTATGCGGGCGGTTCGGAGCCGAGACTGTAAGTAGTACTACGTGCCAGTCCATTGACTGCAGCGCTGTTCGGATCATACTCTCCCTTTAGGGCGTTTTCTGGGTAGATGTACACAAGTAATGGGCGCACTGCTTTTGCTATTACTGTATAAGCAGCATACGGCAGTATATAAGTTTGTACGTCCCCCGATGATTCACTATAACACAATTTTGAGAACCGGGTCATCAGCGCCGGGCTCGCAAGCGAGCTCGCCGTCATCCGCGTCGCAGCCGAGATGGAAATTGTCGGAGTGATATATCAGGCCAGGCGGCGCCGGATAGCGATTGCTGGTCGAATGAACACCGCCCCGTCCCCCCCTTCGGGTGCGCTCTGCGCACGAGCTTCTGTTACTATCTCCGCGCCGGTGAATAAGGTCTGGGAGACGCTTCTAGACTTCCCTTCTTACAAAGAATGGTACGCGTTTGAGTCTTGTTTGAGGAAATAGCGTGTACTGATTGCATGCCCATATGATAGGGATCCGTTCATGTGGGTTTACAGTACATCGAAACAGAGTAGCTTGATCACTAAGTTCAGTCCAGCCGTTCGCAGGTTCTAGTTGATGCCAGCGGCGCCCCACTTTCTTCGCAAATCCCGGTCGAAGGCGTGCGGATAGCTCAAGAGATCCACCTACCATCGCTCTCCTCGTCTAACGCCGATCCCTCGGTAAACCACTCGGTCGAGGTTCTTACACATGTCAACCCCCGCACGCATACCCTTGCCTGGCGCCTCTCCTCACCCGCGCACTGGCTCTTCTGGTCTGAGCGGTGGCATGTTGTTCGCACCCTGAAACGTGGTGCCAAGGCTGAAGGCGAAACGACTGCGGTTGATTTCTGGCGTGGTAGCGAGAGGGTGAATTGGAGGGGAGAGGAGACGGTGTACGAGACGTGGGAGGTGCTCGGTGGTATGCTGGCGCCAGCCGCATCGTGGTTCATACTGGCGAGGCTTCAGAGGGGATTGGAGGAGAGCGCGTATGCGTTGAAGGCGAGACTGGAGAAGCCCAAGGAGTGGTCGTGGGGTTGACCAAGTTTTGAGTTGATATTGGTCTATCACGAGTATCTACATCAGATTGACAAGATATGCGTCCGACGAGTGGGCATATGAGGATAGATTTGGGCCATAGGCGGCGACGTGAGCGTACAAGTCAAGAGCAAGCCTCGGCGCTGAATGCGCCGAAGGGCCGAAGGGGCAGCTGTGTGGGAGCCGCAAGTCGGCCCGATTTTGCCGTCTCGCGATCGCGTTGCACGTCGCGTTGAGTTTTGTCTGCAGCTGCCATCATCGCGAACTCGTGGCTTCCAAACCCAAGCTCCAAGGCCGAGTGTATGCTATGAGCTCGCAACAACGCGAGCATACCCTCTCATAAGTCTCCAGCGCTACCCGTAGATCTGGAGCCCCAGCTTGTCCATACCTATCAGACTTGATCACCGTCGAAGTGCAACATTCGACTACGCCCCTCGGCGCTTGTATGCTGTTTCCAGACATGCCGTACAATAAACTGCATATATTTGACCGAATGGAACGCATCTTGACTAATTCTTCGATGCCTACGTTGCCATGACCAAGAATACTCACACATAAGGTGACTGGGTAGGTACTAGGAACCGTCCAGTCGTTCACTCGGGAGTCAGTCGTCAAGCTGGATGTTCCGATACGCACAAAGTTGCTGCAGGTACCCAACACTGTGCTCTATACCAGCCTTTCTCATTCCAGTCAAGTGCCAATTTCTAGCACAGGTGGCTCATTGACCCCAGTCATGACCTGTGATACGGTACACGTACAGAGGCCTACGGTGGTGTCGCGTGGTGAAGTTCTGGCAGGTCGCGCCGCACTAGTGCAGATACCCCATGATAAGTTGCTATCCCAATGCAGAAATGGCCATTGAAGCACCACCTCGGTGGACTTGTTTCAAAAATCGTGAGGCTTCTCCGTTCGTAAGGGGCTATCTGACGTGCTCCTCTGATTAACCCTCAACAGATCGCGCGCGTAGAGCGACCGAAGTTGAAGCTGGCTTGAGGTTCATCTAAGAACTAGGACTGCGGCTTGGCTCAAGACTGACAGGTCTGTCCGTCCTGTCTCCTTTGTACCTCTCCGGAGCATCTTGCACCGGGTTTCATGGTATGGTGCTGCCCCCTTCACGACTAGATATATGCTGTTTGCGAGTCAGGAAACCCTCGCTGCGTGTAAACGCGCGTCGAGCTTGTTCGAACGGTGAGGCTCGAAGGTGGCGCTAGAGTGCCGTCCACACCGCCCAGTATGTATCTGGTACTTTCCCTTCGGTGATCGCTCACAATTCATAGGCAAGGATCCCAGGGCGAAAACGAAAGGAGTATTGGAGTCGATGCTCCCCGCGAGTGTTTGGACTAGATAGCCAAAGTCCAGGCATGTGGGTACGCCCAGGTACGAGCAATGTTAGGGTTGACGGTTCGCCATACACACTGAAACGGCAGCTTTCCGACCGCCGAGTGGATGGTGAGCATCTTTGGCATGTTGAGGAGATTGGAAGGTCAAGCTTCAAGTTCCATCAGGCCCCTGCTATTCAAGCTCATGGTAGAAGCAGTCACAGGGCTGAGCATACTGCTCGGAGCGAGTATATATACGCTGGTTTCTAACATCTACGACCAATATTGCTCTCAGCTACACACTCTCGACATGTCCCAACCAGAAGGTCCTTTCGTATACGGCAAAATCGTCGGCAACTCCAGCAGTACCGGCGACGCATTCTGCGACTGCAAGTGGACCAACGGGCAAGCCCTCGTCATCAAGGGCCTCGACGTCTGGTACGGTTCGGCGTACTTGCGCGGTGTTCAGGTAATTCTTCTTCATACTATGCCTGTGCGAGTGATAAGGATTTGACTGTTCATCTAGGTCACATACTCCGACGACAGTCGCTCTGCCATTCATGGCATGGCCACCGAGAGTCATTCTAGCATCGTCTTCGCCCCCGGAGAACTCATCACGTCGATGACGCTCTGGGATTACAGCGACAAGGCCCGCACGCGCACCGGTCGACTCCGTCTCACGACCAACCAAGGCCAGAAGTTCGACGTCGGGTCGTCCGGTCACATCGCCAATGACATCGACATCGGCTCGGGCGTCCTGGTCGGCATGGTGGGCCGCAGCGGGTGGGACATCGATCAGCTCGGCGCGGTCTTCTTACGCTCCGCGATTGTGCGCGTTGCCGTCACCAACGTCGTGTACAACCCCGATCTCGCCGGCACGGACAAGGGTATCCACCCCGTCGCGCTTCAGCAGGCGGACTACTCGAACCCCGCCGACTCGAAGCAGCCGCTGGACTGGGACTACAGCGGCACCACTTCGCGCACGCAGAGCACAACGTACTCCCAATCGAGCAGCACCATGTACGGCGCCAGCGTCAGCGTCGAGGTGTCCGGCAAAGTCTTCGGGATCGGCGCGAAGGCTACGGGCGGGTTCGAGTGGCAGCATACGTCGGAGGAGACGACGACGGCCAGTACGTCGAGCTCGGTTGGGTTCACTTGGGGCTTGAAGGGGACGCTCGACCCCGGCGAGTCGTGTACTTGCACGGCACTTGTGCAGCGGGGTGAAGGACGGACGAACTATACCGCTACTGTGGAGGTGAAGCTCGAGGATGGGACGACCAATACGTTCACGGAGCACGGCACGTTCCAGAACATCGCGTATACGAAGGTGGAGGTGCAGAAGAAGGAGACGACCAAGGTGCCACAGGTCACGGTGTAGAGCGCGGTTGGCATTCCCGCTAGTACGATCAGTAGCATCGCTATAGCTGTAGGGGTTGGGGAGCATCTTGTCAATTGGTCTTTGTGTAGTTCTAGCTTGAGATTTCACTTGAACTCTGCGCTTGGGTTCTCTTAGCGCGTCTGAAGCGCATGCTTCCATAGCCTGTACGACGGAGGAAAGGGCTCTCGATGCCATAGAGGTGCAAAAATGTGTAGACATGGCGGTGTATGCTAACGACGCGACGCCGTCGACGTCGGGCCGACCCGGCCTCCTTCCCAAGCGCGCGCGAGGCAGCTTGGGCGCCATGCCGTAGGACCCTTACCTCCCCGACAACTCACCAACACCGCCGCAGACCTCCCCACCCTACGGCACCCCCGCGCCAATCCCTTCTGACGCAGAAGCCCAGTGGGGGTATCAAACGTATCGTTATTGCACAACCCAACCCCCTTAAACGCGTAAAGGGCTAACGTAGCCTATCGTACACTCTCATTCACACAACTCCTGATCGACGGGAAAGCAAGATGGATAACGGAGCACTGAGCACTGAGCCAGGCACTGAGTATGTACGAGTCCGTGAATGATGACTGCAGTTATGATGGAGACATGTCGAGTAAGTATGTAAGGTATGAGAGAAGACAAATGCGTAAGTAACGGCAGGGCTGGCGCTCCGAGGTGCCACAACGACCCTCCGACGCGTCAGTGTACGAGCGCGCTCCGAGCCTGACCATGGCTCGGCGCCGGCAGTCCCACTCCGCCGTACATCCTCGCCGGCCTGCGTAACAGCTTACTCCCGCCGCTCGCAAGGCCCAACCCAAACAAGGGCGCCATGCGCGAGGCAAGCAGATCCTGCACGTCTCTCGCGATCTCGGTGCGGAAACGCGTGAGATCGTGATCGGAGTCGGGGTCGGTGCCGGCGGTGGCGATGTGTGCGAGCGCGTGACCGGCGGCTTTGCGGGAGGAGAGGTAGGCGCGGAGGGGGGAGCGGTTGCGCTCTAGCCATTCGGTTGCTGATGATATGGCTTGGGAGGGGCGGTGCTTGAATGCGAGCGTGGAGAGCGAGGGGAAGGGGGCCTCGCGGTTGTAGACTTCGCAGAGCCGCCTGAGCCTCGCGACGTCGGACACGTCGTTGTCCGTGGCTGATAGCACGAGCGTGTCGACCTTTGTGAGAGGGACAAGCGCGGTATTGAGCGGGTCGTGCTCGTTGAGACCGACTACGCTGAGATGCGCCGATGAAAGGTCGACGGTGCGGATACGGCGCGTGTCCAGTTGCGCGACGAGTGCCTCGAGCGCGGCTGTACGCGTGATATCCGCATGCAACGGCTCGTTGTCGTAGTACGACCGCGTCTTGTGCTCCAACAGCACAGAAACGCCACGGCCGGAGCATCGTCCAGAGAACGACTCGTACCGCGCCGTCGAAGGCCCAACGAACAGCTCGAACTTCACGACGGGAAGGTTGAGCGGTGTAAGCGAGATCTGCAATGTGTCGTGCGAATGGTGTTGAAGGAGCGGACGGATTAGTCGGAGATTAGGTAGTGAGTGTGCGGCGAAGGGTAAGACGAGATGGAGGTGTTCGCAGGCGGGCGCGGAGAGGTGGGTCCAGAGGGACGCGAATATGTGTTGGGCGCCGCGGAAACGGAGGGTCTTGAGATGAGGGAGGGAGACGAGGGTGTCGGGCGGGACGGGCTGGGCGCTGGCGTGTGCCGCCTGGTTGAGATCAAGTTCTTCGAGCTCTTGGCACGGCGCGAGAACGTCCAGTAATGTGATGAGCGGGATGCACTGCCTTGTATCGATGTCGCAGCCCATCCAGAGCGATAATGATCGCAGGCTCGGGGCATGGAACGGCACAAACAGGTCCTGGAAGACGAGCGAGCGGAGCTTGGGGGCGTCGAAGGCGGGGAAGTCGAGTCGAATGTTCGACGCGGCGCTGATTAGCTCCAGGGCGCTTAGATGCGGCAGCTTCTGTCCACCCAAAAGAGACGCCCAGTCTTCGCTGTCGTGGATGCTGGCATGGGCCAGTGCGGTTGTGCGGTGGATGTGCGTGCGTACGAGCTCGCGCGCGTGATGCGATAGATGGTAGTCGCTGTCGACATAGGCGCCGTCGGCATCGGCATCAGCGCGCCTGCCGGGCGGCCAGAAAGTGAGGGGCGCGTTGTGGCCGGCGCGCTCGAGGATTATATCGTGTGCGGTATCAGAAGCAGGAAATGCCGCTATTATCTTTGACCAGAGAGGGGCGAGCTGGAGGATTACGTTGCGCCATCGCCTATCGACGTGCGCGAGGCGGACCCATCCTAGCGAGCGGCTGCTGGGCAGATCGCAGTCGGCGAGGATGACAAAGACCTCCGCGAGCAGTTCTGGTGGAAGCGAGTGGACGCTGTACGAGAGGCTGCTGCTGCGTCGTTAGATCGGAAAGGGGGAACAGACCGGGAGGGAATACAACGTACGATGTCGGGTCTGCCATGGCGATGGTGAGTGTCGGGGTGCAAGGACGGCTATAAGGGACTTGTGAAAGGAGAGTGGACAGCTGCCCTGCACCCGCTGACGGTGCAGGCCGAAGAAGCTGGAAAACGAATTCAGCCACCTTCGGCCCCACCTGACTTGAGAATGCGGGTAGCACAGGCGCGCGCTGATGAGTCTTCGAAAACGAAAGGGGGAGGAAACGAACGAGCGTTTTGCGCCCGAGATGGTCTCCCGTCAGCTTACGCTCCTGACACTCACGACCCGCAGTTCCCCCTCGGCCACAAGCTCGGCGACAACTGAACAGTTGGGATCGCTGTCTCTGTACGATGTCCAAACAATGTCCAAAGTCTAGGATTACAACGCAGAGTAGTTTATTACAAAGGTCGAAGAGAACTCTAAGAAGGATCTGTGGCGCGAAGGCCGCAGCAACGAGAACCCCGCCCACACACAAAAAGTTTGCCCCATGACGCGGTCACCATCCGACCAGCCCAACTCAATTCGCCTCTTCCTCCCTCGACAGCGCGAGGCACCCCGAGTTGTTGATCGCTGTAAACTCGGGCCCATCGAGCGTCTCCTTTGCTACGCCGGTGAATCCAGCGAGCGCAGACGCCCCGCGCAGGCCGGCGGTACGCATCGCGCGTGCCACCTGCTCGACCTTCGCGGAGTTAGCAACCGCGCATCGAGAAGGAAGTTATCGATGAAACACACCTGGATCATGAGGGTATCGGTGAATAGAGAAGGTACGGAGAGTACGGGTCTGTCATAGACAAACAGAACGTCAGGATCGCGACACAGGGCCGTAAAGAAGTTGTATGTCAGACGCACACAAGAACGCGCTCAACGAGACGCGGCTCGTGCCGAACGAGCGTGGCGGGTCTGAAGATGAAAGTCTCGGCGTATCCTAGGTCCGCGAGGCCTTGTTCCGTCAGGCCTTTACTACGTGTGTAAAGGAAGTGTGAGTGCGGGTTCGAGCCTACGGACTGTAGACAGTTATACACCATTTAGTGATGAGCGGGTCAGATACAAATGTAACGGAACGGGTACGTACGGAACAGTACAGCAAGCGCTGAGTCGTAGACCCGGGCGTCTTTGCGGCTTTGGCCGCATTCAATACGTATCTGTGGGCGTAGTCAGGAAGAAGCGCGTTGCAAGCCGGCGACTCTGAGAACGTACTCGCGGTCTATCCTTTCAAACGCCTCGGCACCGCCCGCCGCTTTCCTTGACGTACCAAGCCTACATTCCCATATCAGACTGTGTGTCCATAGAGTGTGTGAGATGTGGATGTACGCACGTTATGTAGACATGATCGTATCCCTGCAACTTCTCCGCGTCAAGCTTCTCAAAGTCGACAGTCTGCTGCACGAGCTTGTCCTTCGCGCCGGCTGGAAGGCTGTCTAGAGGGGTGACGCGACGGCCTGCTTCGAGCACCTTGGAGTATGCTGGAGACTCGAGCAGCTCGCGCAGGACATTGCGGCCAGTTGCGCCAGTTGCGCCAAAGACGACTGCAGTGTAAGTAGCTGTTCAAACACAAGGCTCAGTTTCGCGGTAAGCTTTCTGGTACGCAATTGGGCGTACTGGGTGCCATTGAAAGCGGTCAGAGTAGTAGCAAAGAGACGAGCGGGGCCGCCGCGCGCATTTCCTGAAGTAGCTGACGTCGCATTTCCTGAAGTGGCTGACGTCGCTCGCTACCGACCCGCCCGGCATCCGGCATCGGGACTTCAAATTCATGCGGCCTAATCGCCGCGACCCACCGTACAAGCCATATCTTCGAGCTACCAGCAAGAACAGACCCACCGCCTACGCTCTGACCGTTGAGAGATGCTCAGAGGCGTCCATTGCATGCACTCCGGCCAGCCCGAGTGGCACACTGATCATCATGGTTCTTCTTGAATTGACAAGCGCTCGTCCCCGACGGCTTCCACAAAGCCGAAGCGAGCGCCTACGCCCGCCCACTGCCGGTCGGATACACCGGTCCGTGCACGTGCTAGAAACGCGCTAACGCAGAAACCCAAATCGCCGACCTGTCCTCGTCCGCGTCTCCTGAACCTCCTCAGCCACCATCTCGACTGCGCCCACTTGACTCCATCGCATCTACGGAATGCCCTCGAAGAAGAATAACAAGAAAAAGTCTGCCGCGCAGAAGGCCGCCGCTGCTGCCGCCGCCGCCGAGAACGGCAACGGGTGAGTTTGCGCCACCCTTTACTACATCATTCAAATCGTGTAGGATGTTCTGACCTTTTGATCGTTATAACAGTGCTGAAGCGTCAGTGAACAACGTCAATGGCGACGGCTCGGAGAAGAGCGATGATGAGGCGCCGCCACCGCTTGCGCCTGTTGACCCTGAAGTCGAGGGCGAGCGGTTGAAGGAGCAGGGTAACGAGGCGTTCAAGTCGAAACGGTATGGCGAGGCTGTCGATCTTTATACCAAGGCTATTAGTGAGTACATCTCTTTATACATTGTATGTTCAAACGCCGCGATCCGTACCACTTGTTGCTCGGTCTTCTGAGTTGGTCGGCACGCGTTACCAGCTCGTGTGCGCGACGTGAGAGCGCGTCGTGATGCACCGTCCGACGCGATACCCACTGGGTATATAATTCTCGTATGGCTGGAATATGCTACTGGGATGCCTTAGGAAGGTGCTCCTCGTACTCTCACCGCTATCGACTATCTTCTTGACAGAAGCTACTCGAAAACACTAGAAGGAATCGCCACATCGCGTGTCCCCGAAGCGCTCTGTTGCTGTGCATGTGCACAAAGAAGTCCACATACTAATCACGAATTACCCAACAGATCTCCGCCCACAAGAACCGGCATACCTCACCAACCGCGCAGCAGCCTACATGGCCCTCAAACGTTTCCGCCCCGCGCTCGAAGACTGCCAAGCCGCATCAAACCTCCAATCCTCCTCCCCACAGCCCAAAACCCTCGCCCGCCTCGCGCGCTGTCAGCTCGCCCTCGGCCAATCAGGCGCAGCGCTCTCGACTATCCGCGCCACGCTCGACTTGGACGCGAGCAACGCGCAGGCGGCACAGTTGAAGGCGAAGGCGGACGAGCTGGACGGGCATTTAAGGAACTTTGAGGGCGCGAAGGAGAGGAAGGATTGGCCGATGGCTAGGATTGCGCTTGATAAGTGCTTTCAGGGGATTGAGGGTGAGGGGAGCGAGGTGCCGGCTGAGTGGAGGGTGTCGCGCGTTGAGCTGGAGCTTGCGCGCGGGAACCTCGATGCGGCTGAGACGGCGGCTAAGTGCGATATTCCCTCATGTACCCAACTCAGGAGCGTTAACTGATACCCTGCACATAGCGATGCGATGAGGTTGCAACCTAACTCTCCTGACGCGTTGACACTGCGCGGGACAGTGCTCTTCCTTGCCGGCCGCTTGCCACAGGCAGCGCAGCACGCACAGAACGCCGCGCGTCTTGACCCTGGCCATGCACCAGCGCAGCGTCTACGGAAGCGTGTGCGCGATGTGGAAAGGTTGAAGGAGGAGGGCAACAATGCGTTTAAAAGTAGTCGGTTAGAAGAGGCCGTTGAGAAGTACGGGGAGGCTATCGACGTGAGTCTTCCGCCATCTGAGTATGGTCGATATTGCTAATGTCGATTACAGCGCATCGGAGACAAGGAGGAAGAAGCGAAGGGCGGTGTCATTCGCGCAACGCTACTCTCCAACCGGGCCACAACCCTTGTCAAGGTACAGTCTCCCAGTACATATTCACCTGTACCCTCGAAGACTGAGGATCCTGCCTATAGCTCGATCGACACGAGGAAGCCTTGACCGATGTCGACGCCGCACTCACCCTCTCGCCGAACAACTGGAAAGCCCTCCGCACGCGCGCCCGGATCAACCTTCACCTCGAGAAATACGACGCCGCAGTAGCCGACTTCAAGAACGCACAAGAACGCGCCGACTTCGAAGGTGCACCCGACGCGGACGTGCGCTCGCTATCCTCCGAGATCAAGAAGGCCGAGGCGGCGTTGAAACGCTCGAAGACGAAGGACTACTACAAGATCCTCGGCATCCCGCGCGACGCGAACGAGACGGATATCAAGAAGGGGTACAGGCGGGAAAGTCTGAAGCATCATCCGGATAAGGGCGGCGACGAGGAGAAGTTCAAGTTGGTCGTGGAGGCGCATGCGGTGTTGAGTGATCCTAGACGGAGGGAGAGGTACGATTTGGGCGAGGACGAGGATGGGTTGAACGATGGTGGTATGGGCGGTATGGGCGGTATGGGAGGCATGAGTCAGGCGGATATTGCGAATCTGTTTGCGAGCTTTGGTGGTGGTGGTGGCGGCGGGTTCCCCGGTGGAGGGCCGTTTGGTGGAGGTGGAGGTGGCGGGTTTGGGGGGCGCGGAGGAGGATTCCACTTCCATTCTGGTGGATCGCGCGGGTTTGGTGGGTTTTAGATGTTGTTGTGTACGTGTAGATGGTGTGGTGTGCGGTACTTGTAGCTTGAGGTTGCTTGTATATCTGTTGTTTGAGATCTCATCTGACTTTTTTTCTCTTGTTTCCACTTGATTACAATACGAGGGATCGTCTACAGGAGCAATTGGGGAGAGGGAGGTACGCCTGATGTCTACTAGTTTCGTTCCATCGACATCATCTCCGCTGTTACTGGTGTGCCATGACTGGCTCGGTGCTCCATCAATGATCACCCGTGCAAATGGAAATGATGCGGAGAGGCAGAGGAGTAGACTCGCAAGCCAGTCCCCTCGCGAGCCGGACAATGTTCGCGTTGCCGCGGGTGACTGGTGAACGACTGTCCTCACCTACGTGGGGACTGGGTTCGAGTCTAGCAGGGGAGAGCATTATTTACGGCATCGGCGGCCCGCCGCGACGCGCCTGAGTACTGAGTTGCGACCTGTTGCGACTTCCTCTTGACCGTCACGATTTGGATTAGCCTCGTTCAATGCGCATAAACTTCGACTTCTCCCACTTGACGCTTCAGCTACGAGTTTTGTCTTCTGCAAGTACATGTGATGGATCACGTCAGTAGACAGTAAGTATCAGCTGTCGATGATTGCCCGAGGACGTTGAGACTGATTCGCACAGCGACGCAATGGACCAGATACCCGAAGATATATTGCGGGAGATATTCGAATGGGTGGCCTTGGTAGATCGTCATTCTAGTCGCCACTTAGGATGGGTCACGGTGTCTCATGTCTGCTCTCGATGGCGAATCATCCTCCTCGACATGCCAACACTATGGGCGGAGTTTGTTGGTGTCTTCAAGTTCAAGAGAGCAGACACCTTTAAACACTTGCTAGATCGGACACGCGATGTCCCCGTCACTATTGTGCCCGAGTCAAGCACAGGGGTATTAGTCTGGGCCGTTGAGAATCTTGACCGTGTAGGCGCACTCGATTGCCCCGAGGTCTTCAACGCCAATGCGTTCGGGACTCTTTGGGCGCCTCCTTTTGTGGACAAGGAGTTGCCTCATCTTCGTGACTTGCGGTTTGCCATTAGTCCTGGAGGAGGCTGCTACCGCGCAATCCCAGGCACTGTGCCACTGAGAGCGCACTCCTTGCTATCACTATCGCTGGCACACGCACACGTACCATTCTACACCCCGCGCTTGACCCGATTGAGCCTGTTAGGTGCTTACTTCGATCCGCCCACCAACACAGGACGGACAGTAGACGAACTGCTGGACGCTCTTCAGCATTGCTTGCTGCTCGAACATATCGATATCACGTATGCTATCTCTATGGGCAGGTCCACCACCTGGGGCTTGCATCGGAGATGCCGCCTGCCGCGCTTGACACAGCTGGCTGTCATTCGTACGCATCTGGACGCAGTGCATCTACTGTTTGAAGCCCTCGAGGCCCCCGAGTTGCGCTCCGTGCGGCTTCAGCTGGCCGCAGAGGATCGTGTGGTCGATATTCTCAATCTTCCAGAACTACGCCGGGTCTTGTCATTGCCGGAGCACTATATCCTCTGCATTCGTTGCAAAAGTGGCGTTCAATACCCTAGTGGGAAGGACTTCGAGCTTGTTCTAGGTGCTCTTGAGCACCTTAGAACGGCGTTCTCCTACGACTATCTTCACCAAGACACGATGTACGATGATCGCGATGGCTTTAGGTTCAGCCTTGATCAACAAGGCGATCCGCATACCGATCCAGTAGACGTGCGCCCCCTGAGCATAGAATCTACTACTTCTATCCTCGAGGATGTCTCGTCCAACATTCGTTGCGTCGGCCTGTCCCTGTCTACCGTCTTCCTTTCGGGCCCAGCTGATGATTGGGTGCAGCGCATGAGGCCGATATTACGCGCCTGCCTCAATGTCGTTACCGTGGAGGTAGTCATTGATTTCGACAACCACTTCTCCGTCGTTCGCGCTCTTTTGAATCCACGCGACTCAGAGTTCATCTTCCCCCGCTTGCACACGCTGAACTTGAAGCTTGTTCGCAAGCTCGGTCTGCGCCGCGGCGATCACGTTGCGGGCAGCGCCCCTGATTGGATGGCCTGGAAGGATAATGGTGTTCATCTGAGAGTCTTCATAGAGGAACGAGCCGCGGCGGGCTGCCCGCTCGATGACGTCTGTGTCGTGTGCGAGGACGAAAGTGAAGAGGGCGCAGAAAATACACGCGCCTTTCGAAGCGATATTCACGGCTTCGTTGGCCATCTCCTCTCGGCAGAATCGCAGTCGAACACCGAAGAGGCATAGGCGGGGCGTTGATCACGGTAACGATGCCCGACGATTTGCCTGCCGTGCATGCGACCATGCAGACTACCAATGATACAGCACGAACGACGAACATCTCACCGTCTCTGCACAAGAGTGCAAGGGCCATGCAGGATACCGTATCGCCATGGCAAGAAGATTAAAATCAGCATCACGAGCAACAAGGACGTCTCTTCTGTACAGGTATCTAAGCCCTGAGGCCCTATCGTCGCAGAGTCAAAGAGCCGGCGTGCTCTGAGACTACGAGGATCTCCAGGTGCATCGCGCCTATAGTACCCTTTCAACATGTCTCTGAATATCTTGTAGCCATGACAATACGTACGGGCTTGCATGTACCGAGGGTGATCTTGTTCTCTCCATACGTACTTAATTATAATTATATCGTGGGATCATAGACCGTCGTCATCATGTACATATTCACTTGCGCTGGCGCATGAATCCGCTTCTAGCGATTCACCGGTACCCCATAGTCCGGATATCTCGCTAGCGCATGGGCGATGCGGACATCACAAGCCGCGCAAGGGAACCGCGCATCATCGAAGCTGGGATCAACGTGCTTTATGAATGTGCAGTGCAAAGCGCTGACGGCAAATAACGACGACTGTCAGCATTCGAAGGCAACAGAGCTCGCACGGAAGGCGCTCAGCGCTCGACGATGTATGCAGTTGTACGCTAATCATATCAAGACGAATATCGTTCATGATGCTACCCGGTTTCGAGAATTCAAGGGAGTTGGGCAAGACTTGAATCTGACTGAGACAAGCACAGAGCTTCGCGTTCGTACACGAGGTCTTAGGTTTGAGCAGGGCAGAAGCGTACTCTGGGCTGACCGCTAAAGACGTGGTGGGCGGAACAGAGAGCGGAAGGTCTGTATTCGGCGCACAGCGACCAGGCACACGGGCGGCGGCGCTGCGGCCGTAATGTAAAAGACAGCCGCGGCGTGCACGCACAGGCAGGGTTCGCTTCTTGCTCTTAACCACCGCGTTCGTGCCCATTCCGCTCATTCCTGTATACCCCGTCTGTGCGTAATGCTTTATTTTTAGTGGTCAGCCTTATACGAGACTAACTGGCCCTACAGACGGCCTAGCTCGGTCACACACCCAGTCGTCTACAAAGTCTACAAAGCCCTCGACCACCCTACGCACTACTTGAAACTACTCTGAAAATGTCTATCCGTTCCATCCTCGCCACCACCGCTGTCCTCTCCAGCGCACTTCTCGGAGCGCGCGCGGACCCGGTCCCGAACACGCCTGACACTGGCATCACTGGCAAGACCTGCACCATTACCTGGGCAGAGGACACCACCGGCAACTGGGGCGAGACCGCGATTGAGCTCATGACCGGCGACAACCAGGCCATGGTTCACCTCACTAGTGAGTATCGTATTTTATTTTGTCGTTGGAGTCAATTGTTCGTTGTGATGGAAGTCATGTTGGCGCCCGAACCGTGATGGGGCCCGTCAGGCGCCGGTCCTCTGGACTCAACGGTCGACCAGCGCTTATCCGTGCAGCTGGCAGCTTTGCACTTCCTGCTTCGCCGCTTGGCTGCGCGCCAGGCATTTACCCTTTTTGCCTTTTCCGCAGCGTTCACAAATAGAACTTGAGGTGCAACCGCGGCTACACCGATACGCCCCTTGTCATCTATCCTGATTCACTGCGAAGTCGAACGCTGACACAATATTACCTTTCCAGCCGTAACCACGCTCGACAGCTCGAAGACGTCCACATACTCCTGGACTTGCCCTGAGGTATACCGCTTCACATTCTCGCCTAAACACCTGTATTAATGCGTTGATCTCAAAGGTGACAATCAACTCGGCGATCTACTTCTACCAGTTCTCTGCCGCCGGTCAGTCCCTTACCTGGACGACACGTTTCGCCCTGGCTGGTGCGGACGGCTCGACCGTCACGGAACCCAATGCCACGCAGCCCGATGGCTCGGCCATTCCTTGGGGCACCGGTGCCCTCTCGGACCCTAGCACTGCGGTAGCCGCGCCCTCATGGCTCTCTTCAACGAGCTCGAACAGCACGACTTCTGCTTCAGCTGGCTCTTCGGCAGCATCCACTTCCGGATCTGCTGCGACTGAGGCCGCGAGCTCGACATCCGCTCCTGTTTCGTCAGCCGCCGCATCGACTCCTGCGGCGTCATCCGCCTCGTCGACCTCGTCCGGCCTGGTCAAGGTCAGCTCCTCGTCCACGTCGGCCAGCTCCGCTGCCAGCTCGGCGGCGAGCACCCCAGGCTCGGCAGCCTCGAACCAGAGCTCAAACACGTCGGATGCCGTCTCGCTCAGGATCCCCGCGGTGATGCTCTCGCTTGTCGTGGGTGTCTTCGCGTATGCGTTGTAAAGCGTTCACGCCGCCCATCTATTTCGTATCTTGGATTTGCTCTTCACGCTTCATACCCCGTCAAGTTCATGACATGCCCGAACTCGCAACGTCCCTCGCCCTCACGCGTATTTCCTTGGGTCCCGTGCTTGTACGTCTGCAATACCATCCCCATGTATACTTGCCATTTTTTGTTTGGGTCTGACTTGTTTTGTTTTGTTGGTGTTTAGGCTACCGCTGGAGAACCACGTCTGCTTTTCCGCCGTCTACTGTCATTACGTTTGGGTCGTACACATCTCCGCATATAATTATAACGCATGCTTGCATTGCGATCAGTACCAAGCCTGTTCGTTAGAGAGTTGATCGAAACAACCGCAAGTGCTGTGAACCCTGACAGCACCATGAGAAAATCATAAATGATATTACAAGACGAGGAAACACAATGGAAACACGTCTAAAACGCGGATCCACGGACTTTCCGAGCGAGATCCTCACTTCGCTCTGCTCCACGACCATGTCCGATGACCTCTCGGCATCCGACCACAGAGCTCGGTGTGCTAGCTGCTCGCCGCCAACCATAGATACAGTTGCGCCATACAGATCAGCTGTTGAAGCACTTGATGCCGACACTCTCAGCAAAACCTTCGATAGGCTTGCCGTTATGAACCCTGCCCGACGCGATTCGCTAGGGTGGTACAGATATCGTGCTGAGTTTGTCCAAACTCTGGGGAGATGCTATCCTCACATTCTTCTACAATACCGAGGTCCGCGTTGAGATTCTTTCGCGTGTCGGCAAGGCGCCACTCGCCCTTTGGCCGGCGACTCGCAAGGACGCGCCTCGCAAGCGGTCCGGCAGGACTGGACACATGTCGCGCCAAGAGGCGTCGTACATTCACTCGATCGCACGGGTGAATGCAGATCGTCTGAGGGTAGTCATCGCCGCCGGAGTAGTTGATATCGAGCGCGAGGGGGTCGTGCTGCAGAAGCCGAGCATAATCGGGACAGCCAGTGGAAGGACATCCTCCCCGGATGATTTCTACCTCGTCGACAAATGCTGGGAGTTGTATCGCCCGGCATAGAAGACATCGGATTGCATGCTCGCCAACCCCCTTTCATGGCTCCCAAGTACAGAGAGGTCGTCTACTTCTCGACAGTTTATCCCTTCAGGACGGATGCATTACGCATACTTCGCCTTCGGCTACGTGCCGCCGGGAGCGACCCGATCTCATTTGAAACATTACTCACAATCATACAGAGCTGTGCTCGACTTCGAGAGCTCGCACTTGAGTGGAGCCTTGAGCTTGTCCCATCCGACGCTGCCCTGCTCACGGGCCTGTCATTCGAATGTCCGAGTCTGAGAGTGCTCAAGTGCTCAAGTTCCTGGGACAAGCAGCTACATTTATGGCTCTCTGGCGCGTCATCCGCTTTCGACGCCTTGACAAGCTACACGTCAGTGTTCCATTGAACTCCGAGTGCACCCTTGTCTTTCCGCTCGTAGAGCCTGTGATGCACCAACAACGGCATGACTCATTCATCATCACTTGCAGAGGATCCTGGCCGCTCGAATTCTACGTTGGCCCTCGCACATCGCTCTCTGCATACGAGTCATGGGCCGCGGTAGCGCCCCTGAGCGTCAACGATACGCGGTACAATCGTGACGTTCAAGTCATTTGGTCGCGGTGCTCGACCCATCGACGTCCCCCGGCGCGAGTGCGTTGCGACATTGCTCCGGTCTATCGTCCAGGACAATAGCACTACGCTTGACCTCGCTGATGACTATTATCGAGTTCACGATGGCGAGCACTGGGATATACCCGACATCGTGCAGACCTCCCTCGTCAAGGTTCGCACTTCGGTTCTTCCACCTTGATTGGCCGTTCTGATTAAGGTTATCGCTGGACTCGGATTTCACTCGGCCAAGGACTTCCTCCCGAAGGTCGACACCATCGCCTTCGAGTATTTCTATGAGGCACATGGCGCACATGCCACATACGCGGACTTGATCAGCACTCTTCCCGCCGAGTTGTCATACGCCACTTCCAGCAAGGGTCAGGATAGGCTGCCCCATTTCTCTTGGGAGACGCACCGCAGCATACGCTTCGCGAACCCAATCCTCTGTGACGATGCACCTCCAGAGCTGAGGAACTACATGGCACAGTTTATGGTTGCGTTGATACCCACGGGTTAGGTGACAGTGGGCTATGGGAAACGGGTCTCCGGATGCGACCAAGGCGGCAGGGATACGCCCGGTAACATTCCGACCAGGTGATACCACGTCCCGTGAGACGGGTACCGGGAGCTCGTAGGGAGGTGTTGTCGAGTGGGGAAGTGTTTTATCTTTATCGTGGGTCATTGTACTCGGCCAGTGATCTGAATGCCCATAAACGTGCATCGAGTGATGATGCTGAATGGATGGAAGACCTTCTTTGCGCAGTCAAGTCCGATGTCACAGCTTCGTTCTGGTGACCTCGTTGCCGTAGGCAGTGGGACGTGAGTAGGTCGTGACGCTCCCGTGTTGGTCGGGATTCGGAACTAAGTGTGGGCCGAGTTGTCTCTTGAAGTTATGATTTGCCTTCGCCCGTGAGACTTCGCGGTACTGCAGACGCAGCGCTGTGGGACAGGACCATAGCTAACGGGAAATCCGCAAAGGTTTGTTCTATGTTGAGCTGAACTCCGCGACGCCGATCGGTATATAAGCCTGGCACTGCCTTAAGAAGCAGTCGTTGAACTCTGACGGGCAAGTGAATTTAACTCTAGGCAACGACTTCTATATGGTTTGTGTGCGCAGCGATTGGAGCTATGCGTTATGCAAATCAATGGGCGGAACTGGCATCTGCTCGGCTCGGTCCCAGCCCCAGATAAGAGCTGGGCTCTCGACCGCCGCGGCGCTATTCATTCTGGATCTCTTACCCTCTCTTCCCGGCATCTTTTTGGCCTCAAGTTTCACAATTGGTGTATTCCACACAGACCAAAGCATGATATTCTCGACTACAGCAAGCACAGAAACGCGCTGGTGAGTTTACTTACCACGTTATCCTCGCGTTCTCGGTATAGAATATGCAATTCCCCTTCACAGGCAGGACGCACAAAATATGTTGCTAGGGAGACTTTTCGACCATCCGGCGACCTTTCCTCCGGTCATCAATCCGAGGATCGTGAGACGTGTACTCTGTGTGGGTGGTGGCGCGTGTGCATGGGGAAGGGCTCTTGCGTCCGCCCGAACCGGAATGGATATATTTCTTACCAATGGACCTGCTGGCAACGGCGCACATCTGCTCGGGTCGGATCCAGCAACTGCATCGATACCTCCCGCTCTACGCGGGACATTTGATGTCGTGCGTATAGCGGGGCTTGGAGGAGTACTGCGAGAGAATGAGTGGCGGACGTTGCTGGCGAACTTGTATACTGCCCTGAGTACGTTCATACGGTCTTCCGCTCTGTTTCCGGCTGTTGTACAGAAGTACCTCCGAGACTGACTAACTGTGTTCCAGAGCCAGGAGGCTACGTCGTGGCTGTCGAGGGCGACCCCGTGGCATACACAGAAAGGCGGCCGCCGCCACTAGCCGGAGTGGCACACGATCTGACAGCAGCAATGAGCGGTCCGAGTGCATTGGCCCAAATCAATTGCGTACTCACCGGTGCAGCATTACAGCAACAACTGGTTGTAGAGTGAGTGCGAGGATCTTGAAGCGGCAAGATGCTGATCAATCAAACAGTCTTTCCTACCGTCTCGGACAATTGCTACAGACCGCAGGCTTTCACGTTAAAGGCTGTTCACGCGCTCTGGGGCCGACTGGTGGGCTGTGTTCGCGTTACACGGGCTTACGTGGAACGCCACTTCATGATCTCCGTGCAACGGCCACGACAATCGTTTGCGAGGCCATCGAAGCGCTCTCGCGTACTCTACTTTCACGAGGACGCTTACAAGCACCGCTGTCCACGAGCATCGGTACCGAGGAGGGACGAGCATCGTTGGCACGCGGGGCACAGGCACAGGTCCAGGAGGGCGTGCTTCTCTTGTTCGCAGAGTGGGTGGCTCAGAGACCGATATCATAAGTTAGGCTGGCTGATTGAACTTGAACTTTCGGGTCTACGCTCCGTAGTTAGTGTGAACGTCGGCCGAGAGAGTTCAATCAGCGGGATCGAGATAATTGAGACATGAGTATACGCGAGCACATGAACCTCATAGGCGCCCATGTCGACCAATCGTGGTACATATTGCACCGCGAGACAGGCACTAGTCTCGAGGCTACAGACGAGTATACATTCATATCGTAAGGATCGCCCCTTCGACGGCATAGAAGCCGAGCGCTGATGATGCTTTGTCGAACCATGGCGTCGTCCTTGCCATTCAAAAAAAGGAACGCATGCGATCAGGATATGGAGCTATGAAAGACCGGTCACGATTAGCCAATAACATGGCTATTGGCGGCTAGTCGCTTCGCCGATATGAAGGATAGCTGCATTTGGATACTAAGTGCACGATTAAGGATGACCTCCATTGGGTGATAGAGCGTTTTGACAGGTACATATCAAACGAAGAAGGTCAGCAGACGGAGGGATGTCTGCTCCAAACTGTTCGGCTCCTAGTCATCTTCGACTTTGTGTACCTATCGTTATTATTAGATTCAACTCATGCGACTCTCAACTGAGATGTAGCTGCTGACCTCTGCTGCGACCGCAATCCACTCCCGCAGTGAGCGCACATATTCGTCACGTCCTTCATCAGCTGGGATGTCGGGATGCCATAAGGTGATGCTGTCGAAGCGTCCGGCGGCATTCAAAACCTTCCCCTTCTCGGCTACACCCTCATCTACCCCATTCTGTTGCATTTCTACATCTTCGTCCGCAGCACGACGCCGCGAACGAGAACGGGGCGCTGACTTGGCTCCGTTGCTGGGCGCAGCAGCAGCGCCTCCTTGGAGGATAATTCCTGCATAGCCTTCGGGTAGAACCACAGGAAGCGAGTGGAGCGCGCGACCGCGAAAGGTAGCCGTTTGCCTCGGTGGCTCAGCGGGATTAGCAGCAAGAATTGGGGATGTCTTGGCTTGAGACTTTCCTTCCGCTATTGCTGAGTTGTCGTTCGGAGATACAGCGATAGAAGGTGCCCCAGGCGTTCCAGATGTAGCCGCACGTGGACGAAAGTAGACGTTTACTGGAGCTGGACCAGTATGTGCGATATGGAAAGGCATCAGGTGCGGAGCGCGCGCCTGCGGGATGGTAGGCGTAGACGCAATGGAGATAGCTTGACTGGCCATATTTGTGCGCAGATATCAAAGCCAGAGTGAGAAGTTGATTCTGGTCGTCGACGTGTTGGTTCAACCGCGTGTCGGCGGGTTCGACCCTGTAAGCGCGTATGTCACGTTCGGTTGACTGTGACTCGACGCGTCCATCACATCGAATGGTTGTCGAATGGTTGTCGAATGGTTGTCGAATGGAGCGCCTGAGCTTGGCCAAAACCGATGATATCCAAGTCTGCGCGTAACGAGATACGGTACAGGTACAGTACAAGACAGTACAAACAAGATGGAAACATCCAAAGTATTGATATAGAAGAACAAGAAAACTCATGATACCCGCCCACTCGCAGTCACGTCTCGAACTCTTCTCGTCTTGCCTCTGCTTGACTGGATGATTCGATCGTCAGAGCTTGTGTATCCATTACAGCAGAACATACGTACTCATACGCCGCAAGCACGTCGTCGCGATATTGTCCCTTAACCTCGAGCATTTCCTCGTCTACGTCTGCGGTCACAGACATGAGCACAAAATGTCCCCAATGCGATGTTGACAGGCAGTCGAATGACTGAGCACGCACCTGCGAAACGGAACAGATACTTAAGTTTTGTGGGATCTATTGTGGCCCAATCGTTTCCGGCGTCAAAGAATTGCACGAGTAGCCATTTCGAATGGCCCTTCTTCTTGAGTTGAGTTTTATGAGCTCTAGCCACAGCGGGCGACACTTCTTTGCTCTTGGGATTGACGAGGCGCGCAGGGTAGTATGGGTATGCAGCTGTTGATGATGTTAGTCATTACTTGGTGAACGACGCTGTGGATGGTGCCTACCCATTTTGGCCCAGACGAGCGTACCGTAGGGTATGCCATCCGAGTAATCCACGAAACCCTTGTGGGCGACGTCCTTGTCGGGCGAAGCATCTACCGTCCGTTCCGCCGTATCCTCTGGCATGTCACCATCCTCCTCGCCGCCTTCTGCAGCCGAATCCAGATCGGACAGGTCCGACAGATCGGAACCGAGTATAGCATCTTGCTTTGCCTCTGAGGCTGAGGCCGAATTCTCCAACGACGCTGGTCCGGCGTCGTCGTCATCAGGCCCAGACTCGTCTACTGCCTGCTTGAGCACCATGCGATTGGATTTGGTCCGCGTACGCTTCGGCGGTTCCTTGGCCTTGGCTTTGCCTTTGTCGCGACTCTTCACTGTGCTGCTGCGGCTACGGCGTGCCGCGCGCGTTCTCATTTGCGGCAGCTCGTCCTCGACCGCCTGTTTCTTCTTTTGAGCCTTCGCCCTCTTAGCATCATTCTTCATGCGACGCGCCGCCGGCGTATCAAACTCCTCGACAACGGCCGTACCGCCGGGCGAATGCGTCAAACGCTGGCCCTCGCGCAGTGGTGGCGGAGTCTTCGCCACCCCGCTCTCGTCGTCGGTATCAGCATCAGCGTCGGCATCAGCATCAGCATCTTCGTCGGCGTCGGCGTCGGCGTCGGCGTCCGCATCCCCGAGGGCATCAGCTTCATCCAGAGCCTCGGCCTTCGCCGCCTTGTCCTGCGGCGCTGATGGTGCTCCGTCTTCGTCTTCGCCGTCTGCGTCCGCGTCGGTATCGGAAGTGGGATGATCAGCAGCATCGCGTGGTCCGCCTTCCCCGTCGACATCCATCGCCACAGGTCCGCCTTGAGCGGCCGGCGGCGGCGGCTGTGGCGCCTGCACCGGCAAGATCCGCCACGTCCCATCGACATCTTGCCATGTCCCGTCTACCGCATCCGCATCTCCATTCGCGTGCTGCGACGCCTCGCTCACGGCGCTGACCTCGCGCGTGGTAGACGGCCCACGTGCGGACTCGCTCAGCCCGCGCAGAGACTCTGTCTGCCCGCGCATAGACTCGGCAGTGCCCGTTGCGCTCTCAGGCGTCATGCGCGCTTGCTCGACTTCGTCGCGCCAGCGCTGGGCCTCCATCTCGCCAACTGGGCGCAACGCGAATGCCTCGAACTGGGGCGTCGACTCGTGGGATGGCGCGGCTGGTCCGGGCGCGCCTGATCCTGGCATGCCTGGTCCGACGAGAGCGCGAGGAGGCGGGAGTTGGGTGGGATCCTCGAGAGATGGGGGTTCGCCGTCTTGTAATGGCTCTGTAGGTTGCTCGTCTTGCGGGTGTTGCGACCTACTGCGAAGCATCTGGAGAGTGTGCGCCGCATCGAGATCTTTGTTCTCTCGCTCGGGCACATCGACGTCCATCGGCGCCTCTCCTTCAGCTACCGAAGTAGACGCTGGCGGATGTGCTGCTGCAGGCGCCGCCGCGACCGGCAACTCTGACCTCCCACCAACGCTCGGCGTACTCATACCAACACTGCTCCCCTTATCCCGTTTCCTCTTCTTCAGAGGAGGTTGTGGAGCAAGATCAGGCGCAGTGCGCGTAGTCCGACGTCTCTTCTCGTTCTCCGGTAAAATCCAGCCCTCGTTGAAGCGAAGGAACGAGTCGTGGTTCGTCACATGGTCGACCACCTCGGCTACGGTCGTTACACCCGGAAGATGTCTGTTTGGTGCGGCACGATGGCGCGGGGCGTGCGAGGTTGAAGCGCCTGGTGTGGCCGTCGCGGCGCGCGGGGTACTCGCGAGTGCTGCGGTTTGTGGAGGAGGTGTGGCGGGAAGACGTGAGGGGCCTGCTTCCGCTTGTTGAGGCGTATCTGTCCTCCTGGCGCGCGGAGCAGCGGGCGCCTTCTTGCGCGTTTTCTTGAGTTGCGCTGGTTGCGATGGTTGCGCCGGTTTGGGTTTCTCGATGGGCATCTGCACATATGTTTAGTTGAGGCATATTGACGATAGGAATAGGGACTGACTTCGTACGAGAAGAGCGCCTCAAGCGGTGTACCACGTATACGCACAGGCGCCTCCTCCGCAATAAGCGACGAGCGCAACAGCGACAGCAGCGCGATCGGCGGCTCGAGATCGCCGATAACATGCTTGGGGTCCTTCGGAAGCTCTGGCGTTTTCTCCTTCGCCCTCTCCTTCACCACATAACCGATCTCGGGAGTAGCCTCGTGCCCGACGTCCATCGGCGCAGGGGAATCGTCTTCTGTCGCGGGCGCATCGTCTTTCGCAGACGAGCCGTCCCGCACAATGGGTTCTGGGCTGGCGGTCACCTGCGCGTCGCCTTCGATTGCTGGCGCTGGCTCTTTCCCCTTCGCCCGTTCCCTCACCACATAAGCGATCTCAGGAGTAGCCTCGTGCCCGACGTTCATCGGCGCAGGAGAATCGTCTTCTGTCGCGGGCGCATCGTCTTTCGTAGTCGAGTCCTCACGCACGATGGGTTCTGGGCTTGCTGTCACCTGCGCGCTTCCTTCGACTGCTGGTGCAGATCCAGCGTCCTTCGCCAATACATCGCCATCCGTAGCAGGAACAGCAGCCTCTTCGATATCCCGAGCAGTGCGGGGCGGAGACTCAGGTGCAAGGGGCGTAAGCTCCTTCACAGACGCAGGCACCGGCGTTTCCTCTGCGACGCACTCGCCGGACTCGGATTCGGCGGGCTCAGCTGGTGCAGGAGGAGAAACAGGCACGGGCGCTTGCTCTGTAGCGTGCGAAGCGCTCGGGTCGACCTGAGCGTCTGCAGCGAGGGAGGCGCCCAGGTCGGTGGAAGCGCCCGGGTCAGTGGATGTGCCCGGGCCGGAGGGAGCGCCTTCGTCGACTGAAACGCCCGTCTCGTTCGAAGCGCCTGCGTCGGCAGAAGCGCCCGCATCGGCACCGACAGCGCCGACAGAAGCGCCCGCGTCGGCGCCCGACGGCAGCACGTTCATCTCGCCGTCCGCTGTGGGCTCTGTCGGCTTCGCATCGCTCATGTCCTCCGCTCCGAGATCAGGCTTTGCGATGTCTGCTACGGATTGAGGGTCCGTGACGTCGGATTGCTCGATGTCCGAGGCGGGCTCGCCGTTTGCCGTGGGGTTGTCCTTCTCCTTCTGCTCTTCAACTTTGTCCCCGGTGGACCCACCCGGTTTGTCCGTGCGTGCGGTGTCGTGGTTGGCGTCGATGTCCATAGGTGATTCCGCTTCTGTATCTGCTTGGGTAGGGCGAGAGGAGTGTGTTTCGCCAGAGACGGCGACTTCTGCTTTTGCTTCCCCTGTGGGTTTTGGCGCACCATCTCCTGGCTCTGCCACAGCTGGACCTTCAGACGTGGTGTCACCCTCCTTCGCCCGATCTCCTCCAGGTTCCTTCGTGGTGGTCTCCGCCGTCTCCTCAGCAGGCCTCTCTCCATCTCCATCTACCTCCATTGGTGCACCTTCCTCCCTCTTCTCCTTTGCAGCCTTGGTCGTTTCTGCAGCGACCTTCTCCGCGGCTACCTCAGCAGCACCTTCGTCTTCCTTCGCTCCATCGTCCGTAGCATCCTTCGTACTGGCTTCCGCCGCCTCCTCAGCACGCTCCTCTTCATCTCCATCCACCTCCATTGGTGCCCCGTCCTCCGCCTTCTCGTCTTCCGTAGCTTTAGCTGGCTCTGCAGCATCCACCTCTACGGGCGCCTCAGCAGTACTCTCCGTAGCACCTGTGCCTTCCTTCGCTACATCCTCCGTAGCAACCTCCGTACCAGCATCCGCCACCTGCCCAGCGGGCTTCTCTCCGCATCCATCCACCTCCATCGGTGCATCTTCCTCCGCTTTCTCGTCCTCCGTAGCCTTAGACGGCTCTGGGACGCCAACCACTGCGGCTGCACTCTCCGCCGCACCTTCGCCTTCCTTCGATCCGTCGTCCGTGGCAACCTTCGTATCGCCGTCCACCTCCATGGGCTCCCCTCCCTCCCCGACCGTCTCGTTGACAACCTTCTCGCCCTCCTTCTCCACTTCACCAGGCTTTTCGCCCTCCTTAGCCGCACCTCCACTTCCTTCTCCCTTCTCAACCTCTCCCTCCTTCGCCTCATCTACATCATCCTTCCCATACTCCTCCATGCGCGCGACCTCCCCCGGCGCGCTCGTCCGAAACCTCTCCAGCTCCCCCAACAGCGGCCCCGCAAAGTTGCCAATCCTTGTCGCGAGCTTATACACCGAATGGCTCGGCGGGTTGAACGTCCGCGCGTTGTCCAGCACCAAATTGACATCGTCCCGAAAATCTTGTATATCCCAATACTCGTGCCCCTCCAGCCTCGCATCGATAACGCTCCAGCACATAGGCCGCGCTATAACGTCGTAGTACCCCGGGTACTCGCTCCGGCTCACGGGGTGCAGGAACACGTCGCTCTTGTCGTGCGCGCGGATGCGCTCGAACGTTGTGCGGAGCGCCGCGGCGTGCGGGAAGAGGAGGGACGAGAGGAGCGCGTGCTGCGCGAGGGCGGTGTCGCGCTTGAGGCGCTCGCGCTGGACTGTGGAGGCGGCGAGCGCGGCGAGGGTTTGGAGTTCTTCGAGGAGGGATTTCGTGCGCTGGTGAATATATAATGTCAGTACATATACGCATGTTTCATCAAACATGAAGAATCACGAATTACCTCGAGCTTCTTGAGCCGCTCCTGCGCGTCTGTTGTGCGTACGCCCGTAGACTGCTCGAGATGCAGGCGTCTTAAGAGCGGTGCACCACGTCGTGCTTCGCGCTTGAGCGACCAGTATCGCGCGGCGAGCTCGATGAACTCGGTGCCCTTGCGTATCTTGACCTACAACAGCCGTCATTCCAGTGTAAATCTAGAGTAAAGGAGAGGCGCGCACCTTGTCGACGTATCTCTCGACGTTCTGTATGACGATGGCGGGCACGAGCGGTGCGCGCGGGGCGTAGCCTTTGGCGTGCGCGCGGGCCGCTTTGGCCGCTTTGGGGTCGCGCGCGAGGGCTGCTGCTTTCTCTGCGTCTGCCGCGAGAGCGTCGAGGCGGGATTGGACGCGTTCTGGCTAAGAAAATCATGAGAACATAGGAAAGCGACGGGGCTGGGGAGAAACGTACAGGAACATGCTTCTCGCAGAACGCCTGAAGCTGTGGCGCGTCCAAACCCGGACCGGCAGACTTCATCGGCCCCAGCAACTTGTGCTTCCTTGCACAAGTGACATGAAAGGCGACGTAGCAGTTGCGGTTGTTGCACTGTATACACGCGCCCTCTGGGTCGTCGCACAGCGTGCACTTGAGCCTCCAGCGCTGCCTCGGTATCCTGTCCGTGCCGAGCACCGGCTCCATGAACATCTCGTTCATCACGCTCGTCTCCGGGATCCATATCGCACACAACAAGTGGACCCACTCGCCGCGGCTGTCCTGCTTGAACGCGCCGCCCTCTGCCGGGCACAGCGCGCAGCTCACGGGCACCTCGGGCGAGAGCGCGCACTTGCGGCACAGCCACTGGCCCTCGGGGATGTACGGCACCCCGTAGCAGTCCTGGTGCACGGCGAGGTTGCACCCGTCGCAGAACACGATCGCGTTCGTGTTCTCGCCCTCGCTGTCCTCGCACACAGCGCACTGCGCGTCCTCCGCCCCCGCCATCTCGCCCTCCCTGCCGCCGCCGGCAGCCTTCTGCAGATCAAAATGCTCCTTCTCGAACCGGTCCATGATCACCTCGAATATCTCCGGCGAGACCTTGCCCAACTGCGCGGCCCGCCTCTCCGTATTCACGGCCTCGAGCCACTCGGCGTCCTGCTCGTCCATGTCGTACTCCACCTGCGTCCCCAGATCGGCCTCGGCCGCGTCCACGTGCCGGACGTAGTGCTCCGGCCGCTCCCAGTCCTGCCCGTCGTTGAAGCCGTACGAGCGCGCCTGCTGGTCGTTCAGGCCGTTGATTTTCAGGTAGTCGGACGCGCCGGCCACGAGGCGGAAGGAGACGACCGGGAGGGGGTCGTCGGCGCCCATCGTGGGGTCGTGGAGGTTAGAGGTCAGGCGTGCTTCTCTCGATTGCTAAACGCGGGCCCGGGTGGGAGAGAGACGCGTAGAGTCACGCTTTATGGGTTCTGTGACGAAGCGTTCACCTCTGCCCCTACCACCACGTACTCCCCTGAATGGCCGCCGTATTCAGCATCGACAAGCTCGAGCTACCATTACATGTCATCACGCACAATGACGACACTCTTGCCTCTCACTCCTCCACATCGGACACCGACGCATTCGAAACTGACATCGAAGCCCGCGACACGTTCGACGAGGTGCCCCGCTGCGTGATCTGCGGGCGCGGGTCCTCCCTGGTGTACCGCCATATAATACCTCACACCGAGCAGCATACCGTACTTTCATTCATGCTAGCTTATACTGTAGCTTTGCTAATGTATGTCGTCCTCAGTGGGACCTCGCCCGCGCAATGGGCTACGTCCACCCAAACGCCAAGCGTCTCGTCAAACACGACCCGCGCAACGGGCTCCTAATGTGCCCCTCAGACTTCGCCGACTTTACCAACTACATCTTCTTCATCCGCTACGTGCCCCAAGTAAGCATCCACGCTCCCTGCCGTTCAGCGAAAAGAATCTTGATCTCGGCAGCACGAAAAGTTCGTGTACGTGAACCCCGCTCAAGATAGGAGTCTCGGCCATCTGCACGGAAAGGCAGTCGCTTTGAGTCCTCACGATAGACATGCGGTGTACGCGGCGCTGTTCGAGATACATGAGGCTCGTGTGCGCGGGTTGCATTCGTTTATGCCTGGGATTGTGGATATCGATGCTCCTATCGCGTTTCAGGACTGGATCGTGGAGGATGGGTTTGTGTCTGATTCTGGGGGGTTGCGGCACTGCTCTGGGCGCCCGATGATACAAGAAGGAATACCGACGGCTGGTCAACTCTCGGCAGCTACGACCACAGACGCTATAGAACCTACCTCTACACCTCAGCAGAACATGCCCTCGACGGGCGATGTACCACACTTCATCACCCTCGGCCCCCACGACGACATAACACCCATCCTCGCCGCCCAGCACCGCTCTGAATCATGGAAACAAGCCGGGATCGAGCTCACGGACTGGTCGGGAACGGCCGAGGAGAACATTCGGAAGTATAGGGAGCTGGTCGGTTCGAGTTCGAGCGAGGCTGATGCGTAGGGAATTGCGGGTTTTTTGGGGCTGGGGTGGTTGATGTGAATGCTGGATTGTTATGATATGGTGCGAGTAATGTGGTTGTAGTGTAGAATCAGATAATTATGAGACGAGTCGACTAAGTAGTTGTTGTATCTCATTGGTATAGGCCTCTTGCAGGCATGCCTTACAGAACAGAGGATGTCCTCTATCTCATGAAATCTAATCCGTTATTGCGCCCAAGGAACTGTGTACGCAGTCTAGTGGTGCACTGCGAGCGACCATCCTCTGAGTCTCGCCTGCGACGACAGCGCGTCGGCGCCTAGGCTGAGAGCGTGGGGAAGACCTGGAAACTCGCGGAGACTACTTCTGTGAGTAATGGCTCCACATCCCTCCATTGCAGTAGGGTTTGGCGGGGAGACGTTGGGAAGACGACGGAGGCGGACAGGGCACGGACTCGGACGTATTTAACTAGGGTTAGGGTTAGAGTAGCAGCGGCGGCGCTAAGGTGCGGTGAATATACCACCATTTATTGACCGGTCATCATTCGCGATTAAATGAATGAACAGCCCGGTGTAGAATGGCTCGCCGCCCGGCATACATTATTAACGGGGCTACCAGACCCTAACCTAGGGTGAGAAGTCCGCAGTATCCCCTTCTCCGCAATACAGTTGTGGCGGGCATCCCGCAATGGCCCGGACATCCAGTTCTCAACGAAACTCGACCATGACCGCGACGAGAGAGCGCTGAGCGCGAGCGCGCGCGACCTCCGGATCCCGGGATCCCGGCACACGTTGCAGCGACGACGCTCTTCTGGCTGTTACCTCTTTCCCCCTCATTCCAGAAATCAGATGTATAGCTTTGAGAAGGGCTGACAGGACACGGACTTCCGGAGCGGAGGCGCAGAAGGCCTCCTTAGGGTCCGTGCTGGGTTTAGTATTCAAACAAGTTAATTATTATGGTTAATTAACCCTAACCCTACGGTTATTTAACCGGTGAAGAATAGCCGGCGCATTACTAATAGTAACCGCGCCTTAGGCGCGCGCGCGCGCCGGCGAGCCCATCTCACCTCGAATCACCCCCAGGCAGTGCCCACTGCTCCTCCGCTTCCTCGTGGCAGCTCACGACGAGCCTAGTTGCGCGAGAGCCAGGCAGAAACGAGGAAATGAAGCGTAGGATACGCTCGCTCAGGAGAACTCGGGCCGGCCGGGCCGCGAGACGCGTTGATGGAAACCGCTTTTCGCGGTCTGTCCTCCTCCCATGATCAGCGGAGGCTTGCGAATCCTTCACCGAGCGCCTGAGCTCTGCTATACTGCTGCTATGATATTTCCGCCTGACTTTGCACCATGTAGACATGTGTCTGAAATAGACGGTTTGTGACCACTGCAACCTTGGACTCAGTACATACGGCGCGGGTGCAGGCGATCTCATGCCTCCCATTTCGGCAGTGCACCCAGAGCTCGAAGCGAAGCCAGCTGCGCACAAAAGCGCTGTTTATGTCACATAATATCGGTACGTAACCTTGCCAGACGTGTAGCGGTGGCGTTACTGACTTCGATTCAAAACTACGAAGCCGGCGGAGAGAACAAATGATCGTTTGGGGAGGCTGAGGAACTCCGTTGTCACTGATACATGATAATCATGACCTTATCCATGGACCTGGCATATTAACAAGAATACGACCTATGACGCTCCTTTCCCGCTCTCGTCCTCGCTCTCATCCTCATCCTCGAACTTGAACACAATCTCTTCCCCGTCGCTCCCAGCCCCGCTCGTCTCCGTCTTCTCATCCTCCCCAAATTCAAACAACGTCTCTTCTCTCGCGCGGCCTCCCCCCTTCTCGTTGCTGTCCTTAGATTTCCCATGTACTATGTTGCCGTCGCTGTCCATGCTCTCTCTCCTGTCGATCTCCGCTTCATTGTACCTCAGGTTCAAAGGTTCGATTTCGACAGAGCGTGCTTGAACAAGGACATGGGTGAGTATGATCAGTAGAGACGAGATAACGCGGAGGCTGATCATCACTAGGCGGCTCAGCGAGCATAGGATCAGCACGTCGCACGGATAGTGGACGTCATCGACCGTAACCGGTTGAAAGAATATGAATGCAATGGCCAGGACGGCCAGAACACACCCGGCAACTTCGATGTGAGGGATGAGGAAGCGATCGAGTAGCAGAAGGGCCTGAAGGGATGGTGTTACCCGCATGTTCAGCGGAGGGGTTGGTGCGATGCGTGGACTGTAGTGCTTGGTCCACTCTGTGCCGAGGATGGCATCGTTCCAAGCAGAGACGTCTAGATCCGGCGTTTGGAATATACCCATCGTTTTGCTTTTGCGTCTCAACACGATCAGGTGATCACCGCCTGGAGAGAACGTGATTACACGGGGAACAGCATATCGTAGTGCCAGAAGCAGACTACCAGTCTTCGCGTCCCAAATGTGTATTGACTGCGAGCGATACGTCCCGGACGCGACCAGTATCCGGTTTCCAGGTCCGTGCCATGCAATTGAATTAACCTCATGAGCATGTCCTTCCAGCCTCAGCGTCACGGCTGTGTTGTCAGAACTGATGTCCCACACGACCACGATGCCATCGTTTCCAGCAGAGACCACGCGCGAGTTGTCCGGAGAGAATACGATCAAAGTTGTGCATCCGAGCGTCCGCTGAAGCCGTAGGGAGGCTGTGGGGATTGTACCGTCGGGGGAGACACTCCACAGATGCACGGACCCATCTTCAAGCCCTGCAGCCAGATACGATCCGTCACGCGAGAATGCGATACATCGAACCGGCGCGGGGAGATGGCGAACCTTCGATCGTCGACACAGACGCTCCTCCGATCTCATCCAAGCGTGTACTTCAATCCCTGTATCTAGACCTAGGGCCAGCATCCGGCCGTCGGCCGATAGGGCGACACTGCTCACATGCTCAAAGATAGAGCGAATGGAGGTTCTAGGCTGCTTGAGCCTATGCCTGCTGTATGGCAACTCCAGTAGAGCGTGTGTATCCCATAGATGCACGACCCTGTCAGGAGTATCGTGATTCGGCTCCACAGTGACTATTGCGCTCCCGTCCTCTGAGATTATCGTTGGGATACTTGGATCTCGTCTGGTTAACATGCCCTGAACCCAGAGTTTCAGCTTCGAGGCTGTTCTGAGCGTGTGTATGGTAAAGATGTCACCGCCGAAAGGGACATGAACACCGGAGTGCGTATCCCAGACATGAAATCCGTGTGCTCCAAATAATCCGACGAATTTCGAGCAGTCTGCGGAGAATGAATTCGAGATTGGCATGGCTATCATCGCTGGCCAGGCCAATTTAGTCTGTGGCACAGGTTCGAAAAAGGGGAGCCAGCAGTGATGGTGTGGTGCGTGGGCCGGGTCGCATAACACCAACAACTTCGGATAGGCCGGGGACACAAATGAACGTCGACAAGTGTCATGCACAGCCGAGGGTGGATCACAAGAAATGAGAGCGGATAGATATATGTGCTGGGGCCCGCGCCGGATGGTGTTCACATGCCCCAGAACGAAATATATGGCGTCGGTACTGAACTCGATGAGTCCTGGAGCGGATAGATATTGTTGGCGCGCTAGCTGGAGTAGGGTATTGAGAACGGCAAATTGCGCCACGCGTTGATCAGTCGTGCGAAAAACCTCGAGCATGAACAGGAACTTGGGCCCCATGATGATCTCACCCAACGCAGGCAGTAGATTACCGGGACCAGGCAATTTACTCAGGTGGTCGCCCGCAAACCTGCACGCATACGAGAGGGCGGTACCCTGAAGTTTGACATTGGTTTGCTCGAGATGAGACGAGTATAGAGACTTCATGTGTGATACGTTGAAGCTCAACTTGTCCGAATGTAGATATCTGACACAAAGATGTGCCAGGAGTTCATGGCGTCGGGCTATGATATCGAGCATGTATTCAGGTGTGCGGCTCGGTGTAGTGAGAAAATCGCCAAATGACGCATGGAGTGTCGACAAAACGCCGGTGTCATCTCGTGCAGGAACGTCTACCACGGCATAGACTTGATTCAAGGATCCTCTCAGGAGATCCGGACGGATATCCATGAGTGCAGCAAGTGCTTTCACAGATAAAGGTTCGATAAGGGTCACGAGAATGGCCAGTACGCGCTGAGTTAAGCTTATCTCGCCCGGATCATAGAGCTCCGAGTTCACCGCATCGAGCAGGACCAAGCTGTAGATGCTATCGAGTGGGCGATTGAATGCCGCAAGATCATGGGTTGTGGTACTCGTCAGCCGGGAGAAACGCTCTACGGGGTCTCCTCGTTGTAGATATAGTAGCACAGTCGACACATAGATGAATGAGGTCTCCGAGCGCTTGGCCAGGGTATAAATCTCGCGTATGGCATTAGAGTGTGTGGCAAAGTGGGCGGAGATTTCAGGGATGGAATGCAATCCATGTTCGAGGTAGAGACGGATGTCGGCCTCCACGATATCCCGTTTGATTTCATGAAGCTTCAATATGCGACCGAGTCCTCCATCGAGCTGCTCAAGTTGTCGTCGAATCAGCTGTTCCGGCCGCGATGTCATGAAGACCTTGATTGGGAGTTTGTGGACAACGTGGACAAGCAAACTTAGAAGTTGAAACATGGCGTCTTCATTGGAACACTCGTCAAGGGCATCTATGACCAAGATTGCCATTGGATAGCCACCGGTCACAGAATTTGGTCCAGAAAGAGGTTTTGTTATCAGTCGCTCGACCTGAACTTCGAGGTTCCAGTTCACCGGGGAAGATTTGTTTTCGTAAAGTTCGTCCAGAAGGGACTCCTTGAAACAAGAGCTATACAGAGCTAAGGAGGCTGAGAGGGCGGGAATGACGCGTCTCACGTCTCTTTGATCCATAGAGCCGCGGCGAGAGCAGAAGAAACTGCCGCCAAGGGCATCATCTTGCAGCAGACGGCGACAGAACGTGCGTGCAATGGCTGATTTGCCAGCTCCAGCCATGCCATTGATCCAATAGAGCCGCGGCGCTGTAGGGTCACGACTCCAACGTTGCAGCTCTGCTAGTAGCTCTTCGCGCGTTCCTGTAAGGCAGCCCGAAGGGCTTTGCGCGGCGATCTCGGCAGATTCAACCGGATTCAGGGACCTGAGCGTCTCTGTAAATGGTATGAGGGTGAGCATAAAAAGGAGGCATTTACTCGCGCATACCTGTCCACACTCGTTCGCGTTTCTAACAGCGATGATTAAGTGTGAATTTCAGGAAATGAGTGAGGTAAGGCGGACCTCAGCTTTCGAGAAGTCCAACAGTTCTAGTTATCGTCTCCTTCAGATCTTGCCCTTCAGAGATTGCGCAGAGAATTACCTTTCCTCAGTTTCTTGATCGCGTTTTGCGTTGCTTCGGTGATGTCGCGGGTATCCGACACGATGGCTTGTGTCTCGGCAGCCATTAAGTGCATCTCCGAAGTCATGGCACGGGCCTGGAGAGCTGTGAGCACGCGAAGACGCTTCAGGCTCTCCTGAATCTCATCGTTCTTGGCGAATGCGTTCACAGAGAGTTCTGCGTGACATATCAACACGATGAATGCACAGCCAAATCGATCCGAGAAAGGCTTACTGATACGCGCACGCCATGCAGGTTCCTTAAGGAGCTCAGTCGCGAGCCGAAGCACATCCAACAGGTGTGCGAGAATGGCTATGTCAACCGTACGTGTCGCGGATCCAGTAGCCTCAGATGTCTTTGCCGTCCGAACATTGAGGCTTTCCAGGAAGAAGCTCATCTCCTCGAATAGTTCGATGAGCGCTTCAAACCGCTCGCTGACTCCCTTCGTAGCCTATACAACAATTCAAACAACCGTCGCGAACCAGCAATGACTACATACCTCGAGAAGCATGCCAAGCACGGCAAAGATCGCGCTTCCACCGGGAATGCCCGGCTGTAATGAGGGGTTCATAAATACATACAAGACAAAAAGACAGTGATGGCACGTACAACATTCGAAGAGACTGCGGATAAGACATTATTCAGGACCAGCAGGCCTTCAACCGTCGGCTTGAGATACTTGTTTCGCAGCTCTCCCCACTTAGATCCGCTGGCTCGTGTACCCTGAATCTTCTTGACCGTATCCTCCAGTCTGTTACAGACCTCGTCCGCACTACTATATGATGCCATGTCGTCCAGTAATGACTTCCATTGAGATGATTTGCCGATATCGCAGTGCTCGACCTTCTTGATCGCCTCTGCCCAGAGCTCCGTGAACATACTGACCGGGTCCTTCGGCGATTTCCCCTCCATTACTGGTCTTAAGCGCTAGCTCTCTTTGAACGGAACATCAGAATCGAATGCATATAGAAGGGCGGTAACAATACGAACGGTATAAGGATGTTGTTGGTGGTGGTGGTGGACTAAAGGAATGTAAACCATCGCTCAAACATGATCGGGCCCAGATCGGGCCGGGTGCCACGAGGTCGTCGCGTCACGGTGATAACTACTCTTTGGGCGTTCGTCGTTCGAGAAAGCGTTCGCGTATTCGCATTTAGTATCATGCGATCGCCATCCCTTTGTATACGTACGGCTAGATGCGGACAAACCGTTCGACATGATGAGACTGATTATTCAAAGTGAACTAAAAGTACAGAGCGCTTCCCGTTATTCCAACGAGGGTATCACGCCGACCTGAAGGGGCTCGCTTCTCGACACCGAGACAAAACCCGTGCTTCGATTTCTCTCTTTGCATTGCGACGAGAGCCCAACGAACACTCCCTCCCAATGTGCGTTCCGGTATAGAGCAGAGTTGACGTGCTACAGTCCCATCTGAGCTCTTTCAAGGTCATCTGCGGCCTCCCCCACTTCCCGCGCCATCACCCGGACAACGTCGTCAACGTCCGTCGCGGCGAGATAGCCCAAAACCGTCTTCACCCGTGCACTCGGGAACACAGACCCGACACCACTATCTCCATCGTACGCCCGCCTCGTGTACGCGCGCACAAGCAACCCAAGGAAGTGCAGCGCAGCACGGCGAAACGGAGGGAATTTGGCATTTGCGGTTGTAGGCGCTTCGTCCATCGTGTCCTCTTTCTTCTCTCCGCCATGCGGTTCAGCGGTCTTCCCCTGCCTTTGCGTCTCGCGCACGCTCTCGAGTTGAAGAAGATGAATCATGGCATCGGCAAGATCGACGGCGTAGGGCAATAGAGCGAGGTCGGATGTATCGGCGCAGTTGCCTAGGAGTGAGAGCGCGGATGTTCGGAGGGCTGTTGTGAGGTGCTGGTTTCGCACGATGGCGAAGAGAGGTGGTATCAGAATGTTGGCTGTGGGTAAAGGATTAGCATGATGTAAGAAACAGAAGAGTATAGACCACTTACCATGATCCGGCAAAGTATCGCCGCACCGGCGTATAACTTGACCTAAAGCTTCGCCGATCTTCAAACGAGTATCGAGCTCCTGCTGCGTCAACACGTTCTCGGCGTTGACCGAGTACGCCCGCACAAGAGTCTTGAGAACATCCTTCCCGAATCCGTCGACAAGTGCGGATAGGCCTTGCACAGCGTTCAAGAAGATGTATGAGTCAGCATCTTGAATAGACTGCATGAAGATGTCGAGGATAGCAGGCACGAGCGGAGTAAGCTCGGTCATTTCTTCGCGTTTGGTGACGAGCTCCCGGAGAAGTAGTAGACCGTGCGCTCGAACGGGTAAGATCGGATCCTGCAGGAGCTTCAAGGCCTTTTGGTATGTCTCGCGCGTAGCGGCGCCGGCTGGCGCTTTCGGCGTCGTGGACGATGCTGCCGATGATGAGGCGAGGCGGACGGTGAGAACCATGCGGCTCTCGCGCGCCAGAGCGCGGATGGCGTCCTGTTCGTGTTTCACGAGGTGTTCGACTTGCGTGAGAATGTCTGCCAGGATGGGCGTTGTTTGTACGGAGAGTCCAGGATTAGCTACAAGTGTATGAGCTCATGCAGTCTCAACGTGTCGCATCGAGAGCTCACCTTCCAAGATGGAGAGTAATAGGTTCAAAGCCGTGCTTGTCATCTCGTCGTCAGGAGGTAGCTTGGGCTTCGCTTCCGGGTCCGCATCCTCATCGTCGCTATCCCCTTCTTCCTCATCATCCGGTAAATCTTCCTCTTCCTCCTCATCAACGATGCGCAGATCATCGAGTCCTATGCCATTCTTCGTTGCCTTTGCTTCCGGCGGCTGAGGCCGAGGTTCCGATGCTGCGATGACTGAATCAAGTACATGCTTCACAAACGTCAGAATGTGTTCGGGCTTGTTCAGGATGTTCGTCGTCGCGGGACCGTCCGCCATTTGGGTCTGCATCTGCACAACGAGCTGTAAGAAGAGCAGTGTACTGCGCGCCATCAGTCAGAGAACGTCTGGTGCATGACATAACGAGCTTACCGCGTAGGATCGCCATCGCTGTTGGCCTTGCTTTCGCGGTAAGCCTCAAGCAGGCGAACGAAGAGCTCTGACGCAACATCGGTGCGCTCTAGCGACTTGAGAAAGCGTACGAAATGCGCCGGGTCCGGGCGCAGGTCGAGGAAGTTCGCATCTGCATCAAATTCGCCGCTCTCCTCTGCCCGTTTGAGGTCTTCCGGAGTGAAGAGGGCTTGCTGCGGGCCTATCGATTCAGGTCTAGCGATAGATTAGTCAAGGAATCCAGATAGAGCAAGCCGAAAGAGCGTACTCGTCACTTCGCTTGATGTTGCCGGCAACATCTGCTTCCCAGTATCCGCCCCGATCTTCCACACAGGACCACAGAAGCGCGACGGCTCCATCCTGTTCCACGACGCGACCCCATGTCAACAGAATCCCGCGTACGCCCTCCTTCAAGGCGGGGTCGCCGGCCTTCAGCTTCTCCATTGCACCCAGAATGGCATATAACGCGGGGATGATGGGCGAGAGAAGGACTGAGATGAGCGTAGGCGATGGATCTGTGTTCGCGAGTAGCGTTTGCAGCGTGGACAGCGCGGCAGCTGGCGAAGTGGTGGAGTCCGACGTGTCGTCCAGGGTTGTGTTGCGAAGAAAGGGTTCGTGCAGGAGAGGGATGACGATGCCCGTCGCTACTCCGCCCGAAGTCAACATGCGGGATACAGCGAACGCCGCTGCACGTCTGTGCGCGGGTAAAACGTCCCCGCTTACGAGAGCTAGTAGCCGCGTGACGATGATACGGAAGTATTCCTGTAGTGACAGTCTGAGTGAGGTGCCAAAGAAGCGTATGGATATGGCGTACATCATCTGTCATCGCGGAAGGAGATGCGTTTATAACACGAGCAAAGTGCTCAAGCTTCTCCAAAGACGTATTCTCGCCTGCGACGTCGTCTTCCCCGAAGACCACAGCGCACAACCCGCGCACTCCGTCGGGTCGCAGCAGTTGACGGCTCATCATTGTCTTGCACGCCTTCTGAACGTGGGATGCGGGAGCAGGAGTGCCGGATAAGACGCCTCCAAGGGAGGCTATGGTCTGCGAAGGCGGCAGTCTATCTCGTATGAGTGTCAATCAATGCAGACATATGACGAGCAGATGTGGCTCACATTGACAGCATGCGCATGACCAGTGGTCGAATTTCGTCGACTGCGGAGTATGAAGAGGAAAGCGGCTTGGGGATCCAGCCGAGTGCCAGAGCCGGTCGAAGGAGGTTCGTAGTATGTCGGGTAAAGAGAGCGGTCGTGATGATGGTCTGTGGCACATTGCTCTGTACGCCCTCGGGGAATAACACTGAGTAGAGGCGTTTCGTCATAGACTTGAGAGACGTGTAGCTCTCTAGTGCGTCGGATATGTCCACGAGCTTCGAACCGGATGCCGCGCCTTTCGATGGCCAAGCGGCTGACAAACTGGCAAGTAGAGGCTCAGTGCCCCATTTGAAGACGATGGAGATCAGAGTACGAAGTTGCGTCGTGTCTCTTGTTCCAATAGATGGTGCAACACCCGGTCCGTCGTCCCTGACTTTGCCACTGCTTGTAGACGGAGTGGCCGCTGCACCCGCGCGCTCTTCCTCATCCAACATGCGCTGGACGCGCTCGATCACGGACAGGGCAGCTTCGGCTGTAAGCCTCTGGGCGCCCTGCACGGTGACAGCCGAGTCGTGAGCCTCTGAGATACCCAGTTTCTCATTGTACTGGGCGAGTCGCGAGAGCAGCAAGGTCTTCAAATCAGCGGCATTTGGTTGGCCATTTTTGTCACTCTGTATGAGAAGAGCGCCCGCAGCTACTACGGACTGGAGAGACGCTGTCGTCTCCATCTTGTTCGCGTCACTCAAGTGTCCTGCCGAATACACTGAAGGAGGATAGCCAGGAAGATCGTGATGGCTGGGAGCAAGATGTAACGGAGCTGACGGAGCGGCGCGCGCAGGCACTTCGCAGGCACTTGCCTCTCACCACCATCGCGTTACGACCCAACTCGCCCTACAACTCTGTACATTATAACTTCGAACACAATAGACTTCATTCCTGGCGCATAGATGTCGAACCCAATAGACTCCGGAATTTCCGAGCCTTCTCCCGATGCTGAGCTTATCGGCTTAGAGATGCTGCCACTAGATATCATCATGCTTATCGTCGCTCTGCTCGACATACAGGACATATATCGCTTGAGACAGGTGCGATACCTGCTCTAGCAATGACTCAGAGAGCTTACGGGTGCGTATGTAGTGCTCGAAACACCTCGCCTTCCTGCTCTCGTCCCATCCCGTCTGGCATGCCGCACTGCAGAAGCATATCGGCGCCTACAAGCCCATCGTCCCTCTATCTACTCCCTCCCTCGAACTTGCCACGCATGACATGGGAAGGGCCATAGAACGGAGCGCTCATTTAAGCCGAGCGTGGACCGCTACGCGTCCGAAGAGGATAAACCTTGCCCAGTTCGCTCCGCCACCTGCGCCAAATGGCCATGAACGCAAGCCACTGCGTCTTGAGCTGCTGAGACATGGCGGGCGCTCTTACGCGCTAGTGGGGTACTATACCTCGGGTCGATTTGAAGACGCTGGTCGTCATGTTCTATACTGCCTAGATCTTGGGGCAACACAACCGGGACCGTCTGAAGCCGTCCCCTCAACCTCTCTTCGGGTATGCGCGCGGATGGACCTCCCGCAAGTTGTGCATGTAACCTCGAATGAGGCTCCTGGAGATGCGCCATTTGTTGTGGGTCATATCGAGCACCCAGATACCGAGTACGTCATCGGCACTACGTCGATTTCCACGTACTCATAGCATGCAGCGAAGTCGCGTTCAAAGCATATCTTCTCGACTTCGCACCTTCGGCCACATCTACTCTTGATGAAGAGACTGAGCTACCCGTATTCGGTCTTCGCAAGATTCGAAGCTTTGCCACCAAGGGTCCCCCGCTCCTCTACAGCGGTCACATCCTAGTCGCAGGGGACAAGAAGGGATTCCTCTGGGTGTACGATACCCGCAGCGGTGACCTGATATACGAATTGGAGGGTGGCAATCCCGAGGTACGTCTTGAAGCTCTCCATACAGTATGATGCTTATCCGCATGTCTTTCAGGCGAACGAGACGGCGCGCGTGATGCTCAGGGAGGACATACTCGTAGTCCTCGGATATGCGTGCATCCGCGTCTTCACCTTCCCACAGCCTCTGCAGCGCTCTCCTGACAATCCGCAAGAGTTTTCCGGCCCGCTGAACTTCAGCACAGACGAACCAGAGGTGCTCAAACCCACCGTCACCCATCCCTGGCGTTGGGGCCTAGAGATGCTTGCCGCTGCTCCTCTTGTACATGCGCACGCCAGCGGTCACACTCGGAGCCGCCCGCAGATCAATCTGTTCGTCCGCTTCAGATCGTGGTACCCCTGGCCCATCAACGTACGTATCCCCGTATGCCCTGTCAATCATTCTCTCACCTCAAGTCACAGATGCTTCATCACTATGTCCTTTCACCTGGCCCGGACGGGATGTATGCGACAGCGCCATCGCTGAGGCTGTACACGTACTCGGCTCTGGACCTATTCTCAGTGTCGGATGCTGCCCTCGGCCAACACGGGACGGCCCTATGGACGGACACGTATAACTCTGACCCGCGTGCTCCGGGCGGGCAGCGCGTCGCTGGCAAGATTCTACGTCCTGCGCCCGGCGATCAAGAGCTCGAGCAGACCGTCGAAAGCTTGAACGACGTTCAACAGACTCAATCTGAGTTGAATCCCTCTATCGACCGATACGATAAGGGTACGACCATGGTCTTCGACGTACGTCGCTCGGCCGAGGTGTGCAAGCTCGCAATGGACGAAGAGGCCGGGCGCGTAGTTGTGGGTCTTACGAACGGGAACGTCGAAGTGTGGGATTATATGCCAGACACGTACTAGCACGTACGATACGACCGACGCGTAGAATTCCATGTTCCATTCCGGTTTGACAACGCGTAGTACGTACAGGGTATGTACAAAGTCTCGAATAACAATAAGGATAGACAAAGGTACAAATGAAAGATAAGGGGCGCCCAGCGCTGGATGAAGATGAAAAGTTGTCGTGAGGCTCGTCAATTCGTCGGATGAGGATGGGCAGAGATCGTTGCAGGTGTCGCGGTATGGGTTGTTGAATGGCTCATGGCGGTCTGAGCTTCGGGATTCGGGATATCCCATCCTGAGCCTTCGTCTTCATCGTGCAAACGGCCAACGGTGCCGCTGCTCTGCGTATCTGAGCTGACGTTCTTCGGCTCGGGAAGCATTGGCGCTTCGTCGTCTCCTCGTGGGATTGGTCCGAAGAGAAGTAAGTTCGGGCGCGTAAGAAGGAGCAGGGAGACATTGAATACGCCTGATAGGGTGTACGTGTAGTCGACAATGAAAGTTGCAACTGATGGGATGTTTGATGGCAGCCCTTGCGCTTCCAGGCCGAACCCTACCCAGCGGATGACTGAGACGGGGCAGATCAAAATGGAGTAGATAGCCGGGTAACTGTGTTTTGTTTCAGTTCAAGTCGACTGAACGGCGAGGTGGCAACGTACGCCAGGATTGAGAACGCGCGACGGCGTCGGCCCGCGAAATCCAGAACGGCTGGGCGGGAATGGATGCGGAAGCGCCACCAGCGCTCGGGATCCACGGACAGGTTACCCTGACTCCAGAAGAAGAGCGGGACGTAGAGGATGATGGAGATGAGGAGCGTCAACCACAGCCAGAGGTATTCGCCGCCAATACGCTCGTTGGCGTATCGCGAGCTGATCCAGCACCAGTACTACATGCACAATCAATATCAATTGCGGCGAGAGAGACCAAACAACGTACCGGTGTTGGGTTATAGAAGGGCAAGTCCTCGTCCTTGTGTAAACCGATTCCGAGCCCCACCCAAAGGGAGACGAACAGGTAAATCAGCCCGACAATGATGTACGCGGCGATGCGCGAGTGAAGGCCGCGTCTCCAAAATACACTCATGAAGGTATGAATAGTGATGACCTGAAACAGGTCTCAGCGCTTGGCCCAGCATCATGCAACGAGTACGCTACGCACCAGAGTTGTACACGCCACACCGGTCTCGCCGAACTGCTGAAGCGCGCCTGGGTAGATGCATCAGCGAACCGCAGCGTCTGAAGATCCGGTGCACACATACCTTGTGCCGTGCAGTACTCTCCGCTGAATGTCTTTCCGAGGTAAACCCAGCGGATTGATGTCACTTTGCCCAGCGCTTGGATGATATCGAGGGTGAAGAGGGAGAGCACGTAGATGTCCGTTGGCTCCCTTAGGAGCGTCCAGCTTCCGCGCGGTGCGTATTTGCGGTGCCGCACGATATTTCGCTGCGATGAATGGTATCAGTCGCGGATCAAGCCATCTGACAGGTGAACGCACGACGATGAGACCGAACAGGATGACGACGGCTATGATGGAGATTAACCCGGCTTGAATACCGAACTGTTGAACCATAGTCAGTTCGACGGTACAGCATGCATGTTCGAGTCAACGCACCGAGAGACCGATACTGTCTCCTCGGGTGAGGCAGTAGATATTGGGGAAGTCACTATCCTGCGAAAGCGCAAAGTCCTCCGCGGAGCATGAAGTCCCATTGACTCCCGACGGCATGACGATTCGTGAGCGAGGTCGTAGCAGATGTCCTGCACCTGACTTCGAAAGCAAACGTGTTCGAAAAAGAGGGTCGTAAGAGCGGAGACCGTGTTCGAAAGAGGCGAAGGAGAAAGAAGAAAGAAAGAACGGCTCCGACGCGGGGGTCAAGCGCGGGGAAAGAAGAAGTGGTCCGTCGGCGTAGCCAGCGCGCCTTTTCAACGCCTGTGTATCAAGGCTGCGCAGCTAGGTTATCACTCCAAGAGAGCTCCCGTGGCGATGCGGAGGGGGAGACCAGGGACACGCGCGCCCATCACTGACGATTCTATTCGAGATCAGCAAGTCCGGGCTGTGTCCCGACAATGATTAAGAGTTGTAGCCACAGCTCGTTTTATATCCGCATCATAGACGGCAAAGAAAGAGTAGTGGGTATACCCTATAAGCCAATGCTCTGACTGCGGTGCGTACGGCCCAGGCTTTGGCACGTAGAACTGAGCAGTATCCCCGGGAGGCGCGACTGGATCGCCGTTTGCTACCGGCCATCATCGTGGTCCTTCCGATTAGAGCGTGCAGGCGTGGACAGGGTGGACTTGGCTCTTGATGAGCCTGTGATTTTTTAATTCATATGTCAAGAAACGATACGCGTCTAACATGGCAGTGGTGGTAGAGAGCAGATTGCCTGCGAGTCCGCTCGGCTCGGCATGGTGACGCCTGTGGGCGCATGTATGACTTAGGCAAGAAACGCGGCCTCGTGACTTCGATCTGAAACGCGCTTTGGGCGCGATGTCAAAGCTGCAGACAAATGCAGAGTCGTTATGAAGAAAACAGTGCTCGCAAACACATGTAAGATCTCTAAGCCAATTGTTTCTTATCAGTCTACTTCTCCACTCGTACACTCGCTGAAAGCTCGTATCACCAGCCGGCCTCATTAGGTGAGCCACCACGTCTATGGTATCCCACTTGTCATGCCATTCCCGCCAGTTCTTCATCGCTCTCCGCATCGCTCTCATCCCAAAAGGTCTCCTCATCCGAAGGAACGTTCAAACCAGGCGAACTTGCGCGACTATCGTATGAGCTCGCATCGCTTCCCTCATGGTACGAGTAATCACTATCACTATCGTCGGAAGGAGGAGCGGATATACCGCTCTCGTAACCGTTTATGACCCGCGCAGAGCCGTGAAATGGGAGAGCGCGTCTGCGGGAGCGTGAGTAGAAGGATTGTCGTATGAGGCGTTCATGAGTTCCAGGAGGTGTCCGGGATCGAGACTCGGTCGATGCAGTTGGTAGGATGGCATGCAGCAATTCGGAGGTAGATCGTACACGCTCAGTGGTGGTATCAGAGTCATCCAGCGCACTTGCATCGAGCTTGAGATCACTCGAGCCGCTCAAGGGCGGATCATCTGGCAAGTGGGTGCCATCAAGCTGTACGCCGATCAGTACCACACTCAAAGTTTCATTATGACCAGCACACGTACTTGTGCGTCATCCTCAGGATAGTAGTCAGACGACCCCGCAGGCGTAAGGAGTCCAGTGAGGGTATGACTTCGGCCAATGGGTGTCGTGGGAGGTGGCGCAGTAGCCCGAGTACGTCTTAGGGTAGAGCCACCAGTTTCAGTGAGCGCGGTGTCCGATTCAAGAACCAGGTCCTCCTCCAGGATACGGCGCGCAGGAACGACCTCAGGCGTCTGTAGCGATACAGGGGAGGCCGCACTTCGCCTCGCGCGCTTGAAGCGCACCGATGCTACAACTTGAACCGTCAGCTTGCGCTTGCGTGTACCGGCTGCAGGCTCTTCGAATGCCTATATACAACATCAGTCACTGCTCTCAGAGGCGAATGCAGTACGCACCACTTCCTCTTCCGTTCCAACATCACTCTCCTCCTCTCTCGGCGGCGCCGGTCTAGCCCTCTTCCTCCTCCGATCTAGCCTCCCGAGCGCGTACCCGGCGACAGCGGCGCCGGTAGTCGTAAGCGCCGTCACCCACGCGATATCACTCGTACTGAATGCGGAAAGCAGGCTGAGATCCGAGGCTGTCAAGGTCGGGGTGGTGGTTCTAGTGAGGTGGTAGGATAGGCGCGCGCTGATTTGATGGGCTCTTTTGAATAGACCACAACGCTTTGTGGCACCAGCACCGGCTGTGGCCCGTAGTCGAGACAACGACAGTTTCTCGGTAACTGCGTAGAGCCTGACTGTCAGACCTGCGTACACCTGAGTTACGCCTACGGTGAAGTGATGGCTTGAACAGGACCCCAATCGGGACTCGGGAAGCTTCACTCTCCGCCGCTAGTAACTTACCTCGATCAAGCGCCCGCTTTCAGCGAACAATACCCCCGGCAAGTTGCGAGCACATAGGCCCTGAAGCCGGAGGATGACGTCCTCCGTGCACCTCCGCAGTGTTCTATGCTTCTAGCTCCTGCACAGGTTTGCCGCCCAATATATGTAGGCGCATCAAGCAGCAGATGGATATGTAAAAAGTACAAAATCTGCGGACTAAAGCCGCTTACGATTAAATACCCGAACGCACGCCGCACTAGCGCGGCGCGGTACGTGCCCGAAGTACGAAGAGATCTAAGTAAGAGGGGGTGGTCATAGCGGATGCGGAGTGGAGGAACTCGGTCTACGCAATAAAGAGGAGACGAGGGACCAGAGACTACCGAGACTTGGCTGAGGTGTGGGGGATATTATCGACGGTTTCCTGACCGCGAGTTGGAGGGGGGATTTGTATGATAATACGTAGTGATGTGTCCGATAGTGGCAGGGTCATGGGTCAAGAGATCAAGACTCGGAGCGTGTCGAAGGAGAACATAGCGCATGATCAGAAGAGTCCGAGATGGAAGAGCGTTTACATGGTCTGGACCAGAAGAAGAGGCGAGAATATTACAAGGGATTCTTTTGCGAGTCCAATGGCGAGACGCGGGCGGGGCCAGATTCAACGTTCTCAGTTCTCCTTCATACTCGTCGTAAACGGCGCGACGGGGTCGACCGGGCTCGGATGCATGCTGTCCATGGGGGTTACACCGCCCGTTTGGAGCTTCATTGGCACCGGAATATCAGTGCGCATATAAGCCGAGCTCTGCCCGAACGTTAACGCCGCATTGTTGTCCGAGTTGTGCGCGCGGTGAAACAACGGACGCCGGGTGGGCGTCGTAGGGAAAGCTTCGTTGGTGGCACTGGGCGGCAAGGGCGGGAGCGCAGGAAGCGGCATGGCCGGCGGGGGCTTGCGTGATGCCTTGCGGGAGCTGTGAAATTACATAGTCATTATCAGATCAACACGGAAACAAAAGTAGAGTTCTAATTCGTACCTCCGCAACGCGGTTCCGAGGCTACCGCTACGCGTCCGGCCCTTGATCGTGTTCGCGGGGGCCGTAGAATGGGCGTGGCCATCGTTTGCGGGCTCCGTGCTGACGCTGCCGCTACGGGAGCGAGCTCCACCGATGAGATTGCGCTGGAACGCGGCGCCTGCACTGCGCAGAGGGCTGCGGACACTCGCGAGCGGGTTCGCGTTGGGGTTGACCGTCAAGCTGCTGCGACGACGGCGCAGACGCGGTGCGGTGGAGTCCGTCGAGGCGGTGCTCGACGCCCGTGAGCGCGAGGTGAAGTAGTCGGCATCGCCCGAGGTCATGTCGGCATCCTGACCGTGCGGTGGGAAAGGGTTCGTGAAGTTCGTCGTGTACGTCTTGGAAGACGTCGGGGTTGTGTCCGTATCCATGGCTTCGCCAGACCCATGTCGACTGGGCCGAGGCGTCGCGAGCAAGCCCGAGGCGAAGATGGACGAGTATCCGGATTGCATCGACGTTGGCGTTCACGTTCAGGCGGTTGTTACAGGTTTGGCGGCTTGGTTTGTGAAGAAAAGAAAGGATAGCGGTGAAGAAGATTAGAGAAGGGTGGAGGTGTTGGGTGGTAGTGGTGGTGGTGAGAGATGAAGACGCGCGAAGTAAAGCCACTCGCCCAGGGCCGAAGTCGAACTCTCGACGTAAAGAGCTCCACGTGCCTTGCCCATTTGCGGAAAACAACGCCTTGTCGCCTTGACGATCACGGACTTATCGCATCGTCGTAATGTCTGCTTGTTTGCCCTTGCTGCTCCTTGTTCTCATCCGCTCCCCATTGATTCACTCTGGGTTAGACTGGAAGAACGAGCCTCACCAGTGTTTCCCTCGCCGTGCTCAGCGGCACGCCACCACCTCACGAAGGCATCTGATCATCAGAAATATCAACTCGAGTCGCAAGCAAGGCGGCCGCTTCGCTTACCGCCGCGCAGATGAAATCCCTTGTCTACCCGGAAACAAATACCCTCTCAACCGCACCATCCCTAGGCAACCGCTCTGGATGGCTACCTAGTCGTGTATAGCCCTGCGATCTGTTGCCTATACGCTTCGCAGGAGCGAGAGATCAGCGTCATCTCGTACCGACTCTCCACGCGACTCCCTGCAAGTTTCGCAGCGTCTTATGCGTGTGGCAATCTGGGAAGATCCCTCGGCCTTGGGCCCGATCTGGTGGTCTGAACGCTCCTCTACGCTGTACTGGACACCGACATCTCCTGGCTTGGATGCATCGCTGATTCGTCGCCACGATATCCATCTCGTTGATGACGGCGAGCCGGGACTGGAGTCCAGGCGCAGATGGACGGCGTCGATCTCTGAAAGTAGCTTGTTCGGCTGAACCCGTCGGCCAGCGCACGCGCACCCTTCACAGACTCCATACCGCACAAGTCGTCGCCTCAAGATTCAAGGCTCTACTGCTTCTGGATGGTCCCGGTTCCATCTTGCGGCGGGGACCCGTGACCCCGTCAAGACGCGCACACAGGTCTGTCTCAGTATCTACATATGAAGCTCTTCTCTCAGACAACCATCGCAGAAGTTGGGACCCGTATACACCGGCACCGTCGACGTTTCCCATCGCATGCGTTTCGCCGCGCCAGAGCTAAACCCCAGCGCGATCGTCTTCGGAGGCGGCGGTGCGCGACCATGTTGGTCTCTTGCAGCCTCGAGCGCGGAGTATGAGCTAGAAGAGCAGTGGCCAAGACATCATCAGTCGTTCTCTCTTCGACTGGGCCAAAGCACTTATCTCCGGCCCCTTCTTGCTCGCATGCACTCTTGAAACACACCTTGGCCGCAACAAGCAACAGCGCGCCATAATGAAAGAAGCTAGGCCAATCTTACAACAAGGACTACCAATTCTATCTCACCGTTCAGCGGGCATTGCGAGCCCAGAAGATATCTCCGCTCAAGAACAAGGCGCTCCGAATATGTTTCGCCGACGCAATGTGCTTCTTCGATGTTGGGACTTCCGCTCGCCCGTAGCGAAACGTATGAAGACCGTCGTCTTCTCGTGCAGTCTTGGGCTGTGTCAAGCTATGGAATGCCTTTGCATGGCGCGAATCGGAGCGGAGACTTTCAGGCCGTACGTGGAGGTGTGACGAAGGATAGTTGCGGCCGTGTTTGAGAGTGATACCAGGATCATCGAAAGGATGGTGTGCAACCCCAAATGGACAAGATGAACGCCTATTTGTAAACTACTCTCCAGCGCCTTACTCTCGTAGAGCATGAGTACTCAGTCTCCCTACGTCCAGTGGTCGATGGACAGTGACGCTCCGTAGCATAGCTAAAGACAATCGCGAGCTGCTCGGAATACACGCCCTTCATTGAACAACAGCGAGTGAACTCGACGTGTACAACACATCAAGCACCATCAATCATGACAAGGTGTACCGGTACTAGCGAGAAATAGCTAAGTAAAGTAAGATGATCCTAAAGGTGCCTTAAAATCGCAACGGCCGCCTCCAGCGGCGCAAGCCTTCGGCCTGATGGCAACGCGCCCGACGACGATTGCGCGATGTTGAGCGCCGAACCGCGTTTAGTACTGGAACTTGTGCTCCTCAGCGCGCTAGGGAGTGAGAGGCGCATGTCAGCTCTCAGCCCACATGTCAAGCAGGTCTTGAAACAAGTACCTCTGCGTAGTCCCCGTCCCGCGCATACTCCAATGTCGTGTCAACCTTGACCGCCACATTGCTCTGCGCTCCGGGTTGGAACTAGACCCAATCGTCAGCCTTTTCAATGCTAAAGCGACGCAAAGAGAGATCATACGCCGCTGAGGTTTGCCGTGCGGCCAGCGTTCATAGGGATACTCTGGAGGGAGTGCGAGTCGTTCCGGGATTGCTCGGAGATGCCGCGGCGCGCGTTGAGCGTTGCCAGCAAGGAGTTCGAATATACTACAGTGTGTGAGTGTCATTGAGTATGAGGATGGGCCGATTACATACGACGACCCATGACGAAGAAGAAGCAAACTACGATGTGTGTCAGCGCTGTAAGGGATGTACAGGTCGAGAAGGTCACACGCACTATAAAGGAATGTATCCGGGCGCGCCGAGTAGGTGATGAGCGAGCACAGCGCGTTGATCGATGTCAACAAGCCCGTGTTGACGACGAAGATGATGAGCTCTGTGAGAATCGATCAGACGCGAGTACAGCTCGAACGTAGGATGTACTTGCTCTTCACGATCGTGTCCGTCTTGCGGAAGCCCGTGCGAGACCTAGCGTGTGGCGTCAGAAGCATACCTCTCAGAAGCAGCGGCGTGGACTGACTTGTGAAGTAGATACGTGAGAGTCCCCGCAATGGCGACGTCCGTTGCCGCAGTGACGACGTTGAGAGATATGTCGAGGTTCTGTCAGGTAACAGTGAGTATCTGGCGTAGACGATGCAAACGAGAGACTGACCTTCAGCGTCAAGACCTGTTCGAAGGTCGTGAAGTTACCCGCGTAGCTGCGAATGCATCAGATGCTGTAACATGGTATTGTAGCGTCTCTCGGACTTACGCCTTGCCAGAGTAGACCATGAAACCGACTATCATGCACTCGGTCAGCCATAGAGATTGACGAGTAAAGTTGAACGATACGCACTGAACTGGCCTAAGCTCAGGCAGACGCAAGGGATGGTGAGCCAGTAGTTCTTCTGGCTCACTTCGGCGTATCAGTATCAACCAGTCGCAACCAAGACCACTGGGAGCGCTCACGTTTGTATACGCGGTACGTCAAGAACCTGTGCAACCGGTATGAGAGCGGCTTCACGCTTAGCAGAAGTAAGCAACGTACAGTTGGACAATGAACGCGGTGAGTGCCTAGGACCCAATCATCGGTAAGCGAGCAGTGTGGGTATGAACATCATGACGCACGTTGACGACCACCTCCGCGAGTACACTCCAAACGACGGTGTTAAGAATGGCAAGGTTCGCGAAGTTGGTAATGAGGTAGATGTACACTAGTGCCGTAGGTTAGAGTGGATACGCGACGACGAAACATAACAGGACTGACCCCCATGCGAGACCAACGCTTGATGTAGAGTATCCAGCGCCCAAATGACGAACACGAGGAGCTTCATGTACACGGGATCGTCCGGGTACGAAGTGTAGTAGATCCAAGTCTGCAAGCAGGACACTAAGAAGACATTGGGTATGAGCAGGCTATACACGAGGAGCTGCTCCTTGTACTGACCTCCCCATAGCCTGCATGAACGGTTGGTTGGTTCAAGTCTTTGGAAACGAGAGTGGACTGGACACATACGCTGCGCCGACAACTACGCCGATGTAGAAAGCGCCAAGTCTAGAAGGCCCGACGAGGTTAGAACTAGATTGCCAGTTGCGACGATACTATGACGCACGTCTCGTCGAGGGTGGCGGGCATATTGACGAAGACAAAGAGACAAAGACGCGGGCAGAATGGGGCCGGGGGCACGAAGAGGAGATCATGGCGCTGAGCACTGAGTATAAGAAATGCCGCCCGATCTTCTGCTGCGTCCTCCGCGAAGAAGCGGAGGCCCGCACACGCATCACTCACGAAATATCGAAACCCCTCTGCTAAGCAATCTTCTGCGGTATGAGCCCGGCCCTGGTCCGCGGTCGGGTTTCGGGGGCTTGCATCTTGCCAAACGGTCTGACGGTGGTCAAGGTCACCGCAGCTGTGGGAGAATTGGCAATTGAAGCAGATCTCGGATCGCTGTAGTCGTATCCACTCCTGCTTCTGGAAGCCTTTTTGAGACGTGTTGCGGCCCTGAGCAGAAGGCCTCGAAGTTTATCTTGCGAAGCCGACGTGGAAGAAGTTCGTCCGACCCCAACCCTGACAAGTCACAGAACACGTACGCGCTAGAACCAATATCGGTCATCGTGTGGAACATATTCAGTTATCTCACTCGTACCAGGAGAGCGTTGTCGGATTTAGCCGCGATGGAGTTCATTCGCGAGTAGAATTCCCCACAGCGTTTGCACATCAAGCCCGGCCCGCTGCGTTCAGGGTTGCGGCAGGTTGCAGCGGATCTTCGCATACTATGTTCTTCAATATTGTCTGTATGCAACCGGGGTAAGGATGGGGCTTAGAGATAGAAAAGGAGGAGTAAAGACGGACCTGAACTGACCCGGAGAGATCGGGCGCTGCGTCGCATTTACCGATCAGTCCACGCACGAAACACGAAGTTTGCAAGTTTTAACGGATCACATAGCGTTGTGAACCTTGGCTCCTGCCCGGTACGTACCGTAAGCGGGATCCATGAACTGCGAGCTTCAGGGTGAGAGTAATTATGAACATGACAGACCACAGCGCCTACACTTGCAATCACGCAATGGTCTGGATGGCAGTAAGATTACTTCCCGCGTAGGTAGTGCACTACTGATGTAAGAAGGCCTACGAACATGCAGCCTATATCATATGAGAGAGTGAGCGTGAGCGTTACGCGCTAAGCAGTTCCGCTTTGACGGGAGACGCGCGGATATTGCCATGACAAGTCGGCGCGCCCTCTTGCGCCCGGCTCATGACGGCCAACGAACTGACAGGAGTTTTGTTATCACGTAGGCGGGGTTCTGCTCCCGCGCGAACTCTAACACGGCTCACGAGTAAGATACTGCGTGGAATTTGTAATGACGCGCTGACACCTGGCTCCTCGATAAGGTGACCAGAATAAGGAGTGAGGCGGACACAGGCACTCGTGCGTATCGCCAACCAAAGGCTAAGCCTCAATCAACAGCGCGTCGCACGATACGTCAAGCTCCTCAAGCTTTCCCAGAAGCTGGATGAGGATGTTGTTCGGGCGTAAGTCGTGCACCGTGCGCGCGCCGCGTGCTGCCGCGTGCGCGCGACGCGGTGGCGTGACTTCCCGAGCCACTGGCTGCACCAAAGACAGCCTTTAGTCAGCTAGATCGAACCGTCCGCAAAAAATCCGTAGTCTATTTCAAATCCCAGCAGAGCTTCCATTAGAAGATGTCTAAGTGTACGCGGAAAGGAGAGCTATGAAAAGTGTGTATTCACTACTCTGTAACGGCAATCAAGGCTTCGGCGCGAGCATCGCGTGCTTTGATAGAGCACGGGAAGGAGACGGGATGCCTGTAATACAGTCAGAAAATGTTATTCCATAAGACTTAAGGTAAAAGTGCACGTACGTAACATTCTCCTCCGTATACTTGTACTCCGGAGTAATGGCATTGCCGTTCTCATCAACGGCCTTCGAAACTGTCAGAACAGCGAGCGAAAGAGCTATCTCCAGCCACGCCGTCGCGTCGGCAAGGTTGATACCAGGACATATGCTACCAAAGGGTTAGAGAAGCACCAATTCAGCACATTGAGGACATACCGACGACCGAAACCAAACACGACGTTGTGAGGGTCAGGCTCTGCAGGGTGCTCAGGCGTGGCGATAAAGCGGTCGGGGTTGAAGACGCGGGGGCTCTTGTAGATCTCAGGGTTGTTTGCCATGAACCTTGAAATCTCAGTATGCATCAGACGAACAGGAATAACATCATACTTACCAGATGTTAGGTATGACGAGGGAGCCCTTCGGGATGAGGTATCCCTGGTAGACGTCGTCCTGCATCGTCGCGTGGGGGATAGCAAGGGGAGCTACGGGACTCCAGCGCAGTACCTCGTTCATTAAAGCGGTGATATATGGCAACTGGGGACGGTCCGCCAAGGTAGGCAGACGATCACGCCCAACGACCGCGTCGATCTCCGCCTGGGCTTTTGCCTGGACTTCAGGATAGAGCGTCATGGCCAGGAAGAAGGAATGCAGAGCCGACACAGTTGTATCAGCGCCGCCTCCGTATATCGAGGTCGCCGCCCACTTGATGATGTCCTCTTTAGCCGGGGTTATGTCGCCCTCTCCAAGCTGCTGTGTCACAAAGCACGACTCGGCGTTTCCACCAGCCTGATCATGATCGCCCGTAAGCTAGATGGACAACAGCGTCTATGACATGCACGTACGATCTTCTTCTTGATGATCCCGTAAGGCAGGTCCGCCATCGTGTCCAGAGTCTTGCGATAGTGCTGAGCAATCTTCTGGAAGGTTGCGCCTGGGAAAGACGCGGGGATACTCTTCACTATAGCTCGGGTTAGACGGAGAGGGCTGAATTCACCAAGCATATGCACGTACTCCACGGCATCAGATCGACAAGCCATCCACTGCTCAGAAGATCGTCCATCTGACGCATACCCTCGTTGACGACGTCCACAACGGGGTCGCTGCCACTGGCATTGACGTCGTACCCGTAAGTGACCTTCAAGATGATAGAGCCCGCACATCTACGAATGTCAGATTCGCATCCGTTTTAATGCATAGACCGATGATAGCGTACTTGCGAAGATGTGTAGGGAAGTCTCCCGGCGCTGCCAGGATGCGTCGCATAAGAACGTGGCCTTCGGACTCGAAGAGCGGGTAAAACGCCTCCAGAGACTGGCGAGTGCCGAAGAGTTTGAAGAAGTAACGACGGAACTCTTTGAAAGTATCATCGTAGTGATGCATGACCAAAGGGCGGTCCCATCCGCAGAGTTCGCCAGCCATCGCCATGGTAGGCCGGTCGGAGTAGATCGCGGAGCGTTTGTCCAACAGGTCGCGCGCCACCTGCTGATCGTTGAGAACAACGATATGTAGGCCGAGTGCGCTGAGATGTATAATGCTTCCTGTACATCTCTGTCAGAAAGATGTCAGCGACAAGGAGTAGGGCACGTACCATACTTGCCGTCCCACTCTGTGAACTGCTTGTACTGCTGCATGGCGGTCTTAGGAATGTCGAGCGCATTGCCGATGACCGGAAGGCCGGGCGGCCCAGGAGGGTATGGAAGTGCGGGCTTCTTGAGGAACCTGTACACGAGCCAGACGCCAGCACTTGCGAGCGCAAGATCAGTCAAAGTGAGTGTGTAGGCCATGATGGCAGCAAAGGAGGGACGCTGGGTGGGACTGAAAACAGGCAGGTCCTGAGTGGGGAGAGCAGGGCTAGCGCACGATATACATAGAGGCCGACCCGATACTTACTGCGACGGAGCAAGTTGGACCCGTTCAGGACGCGATCTGCAACGCGTTCAGAAGCGTATCAGCGGAGCCGCATATCGTGCAAGCAAGTTTCGCCGCTAGCCAGGTCGCGGACTTCTGACCGGGAAAACGGCTGAAAGCATGGCGATCTACAGGCGCGGGATCTCAGACGATGGATCATTTGAAATTGGGCTCCGACGCGAACGGCAGCCTCTAAAGTTTCGAATTTTGAGCCGCAAGAGGCCGCAAGTCTAGGTTCCTGTCGCGTCAACGTTCAACCCTTCCACCAAGGCAAATGGGCTGATCCGGACGCTGCGCACGTACATTCAGGTGACGAGTGGCACGCGTGCATTGGTAGCCAAACGCCGTCGACTTCGCGTACGAACTATACATATCGGTCGTGTCAATGCACCAGCAGCGTTAAGGATGTAAGACAAGAGTAAAGCGGTTGCGCACGAAAGCACCCAAAATGAAGATAAATAACAAAAGATACGTAATATCCTATCTCGCTTCAGGCAGGGCATGCAGATGCGCTCATGAAGATGTTGTCAAAGTAAGGCCCTAATGGGATTGTGTATATCAGTAAGAGATGCGTAGCTCACGAGGAGACACGTTCATACCGAGATGATCGTCAACGCTGGAGTCCAAAAGGGAGTTGCCATCCGAGCAATTGTCATTCTCTTGGCCGGGACAGGAGACGGTTTGACTGGAGCTGATGATGTGGACCTCACCGCTGGGATGGACGTAGTCGAATGCAGTGGGAGGTACGCGTGGGACAGGATCATTCGCATGCGTCACGTACGAGTACGCAGACCCGATCTTTGGCAGGCGTCAGTTTAACTAGTTGCCGCGCTAGGATGTGCGAAAGACGACGTACTCGGCTGTCAATAAGATCGGCGAAGGCCTGGTTACCTCCTCTTGGAGTCCCGAAGGTTGTAGTGGTGATGTCGATACTCGAATCAAGGCGCATGCTAAGCATGAGCGCATCTAACGATGAGATAGCGGCACCTGAGAAGGCGATTAGATTGACGGTGAGAAAGAGTCACACTGTGACGATGCGAACCAAGACTGTGGCCCGTCACTAGGACCTTGGAATAGCCTGAACTCGATAGTCCCTGCTGAACTGCAGCAAAGATAGCGTCGGCAGTCTGCTCCTGGACGTCTGCGAAGCCATCATGCGCTTGTACATCGTCTGCAATTGTCACATGTGCGTGAGATCTGACGGCGAGGAGCATTGCGAGCCAGGAACCTACCGCCAACTTGTGGAAAGAGCGTTGTATTCAGAGAACGGAGGTCAGCTTTGAGATCGTTGATAATCGATAACCTAGATTCGGAAGATGAGCAGATGCCAATTAGCTCTACAATGCACTGACGGGCTTGACGAGTTGGTCCCCTTGCATGCGATCCGGGTCAGTAAGGCCCCATGGGATTCAACTGTAATAATGACACACTTGGTGTGCGACGACAATCGACTGCAATGTATCGTCCTGCGCCACGAAGACTATGGCAATGGTATCATGATCAGATGTCATGCAATGAAGATAGCAACACACATCGTGGGAGATCTTCCCCGTCTTGATTGGTGCAGTGTGAGCAGATGGCGTGCAGAAAGAACGTAAGATTACGGACCGCCCCCAGTCAAGAGTGTCGTGACGGATCCCGGACCAAGGTCGTCGCACGGTCCGCCGCAGTCGAGCGCCTCAACTGCTGCACTAGAGCAGTAGGCAAGTCGAGAGTACTGCGCCGGGCGTACGAACTCGGTCGTGATTGTGGTATTAGAGACAGACTCGGCGCTGGCAGAGCGCCCCACTATAGCAACAGGCGCGGCGTTCACAAGTACCCCAAGAGAAAGGCAAGAGAATAGAACGATAGTGAACAATTGAAACATGTCGAACGGCTTCGATTGAAGAGGATAGATCAGAATGAATGAGAGTTAAACGGAAGGCGCCTCAGACGACAAAGAAAATGAAAGCAGGACTCCAGAACAAGCAACAAAGGAGGGGCCCAGCCACGCCAGCACACGAAGCAAGTGAAAGAAATGAAGGAAGGTGCTTCCAAGCTGATCGTCGCTAGTATGGAAGCGCCCAAACTTACCCACACGCACAGCCTGAGGTGTGGAACTTATAAAATGCATATGTTAAACATATCAAGGCCGTCTAGCTCAGTTGGTTAGAGCGTCGTGCTAATAACGCGAAGGTCTTGGGTTCGATCCCCACGATGGCCAGTGCTTCTTTTGTCCCTTGCAGACTGCAGTCCCCTCTTACATTCAACTGGATCATCCTACCGTTTTGACTCTGCACTCTACCCGTAAAGATATTGACACGCACGAAAGCCTTTTCCATTGACCGCCATCATATATTGCAAAGTAATAAACGAGCGAACAGGTACACTCGGGGGGATAGATAGGTTAAATAATCAAAGCGGGGCACTTGCACACAGGTTCCGTCCTAGGTATTCCATCCCATAAACGAAGCCCATATCCTCCGGTTCGTGAAAGTCGTCGAGTCTCGTCAGAAGTCGTGGTGCAGCCCTTTTGGAACTCAAACCCACTCGCGACGCGGGGTGTTGCCGTTGCGCGAGCTCTTCAGCGCCGTGACCATACTCTTCATCCCTCCAGCAATGTTGACGCGGGCGCCATGCTGGTTCGAAGCGGCAGCCTTCTTCTCGGCTTCAGGTGTAGGGAGGCGCCGAGGAACCGCACCTACATCACCGGACGGCGGGCGCCGCGGGGCGTACGACTGAGCGATGAATGCCGCGCGAACAAGCTGCAAGTCGAGAGGTGAAGCCGTCGAAAAGCGTGCGGCTGAGGGCGGCTCAGGAATGTTCAACGGCGCAGGACGACGACGCGCTGGCCCCTTCGGCGTCGGGAGTACGGGCGCGGTCCCTGGTGAGATGGGAGTCTTGGGGACCGTGAACGCCTCAAGCTCTGTCACGTAGGATGGCTTGCGAAGGTGCGCCGCCTTTCGCTGCGAGCGCGCAGGGATAGCAAGGAGCGACAAGCCCGGTGTAGTGCTTGTAGATCCGGTGTTGGCACTGTCCGGAAGTGGAGGCGGAGTCGCACGGCCGGCGCTGCGTTCATCATGCGGCTGCGGGAGCTTGTATGGAGAGGCGAGGTCGGACTCGTGCGAGTACGCGGAAGCGCTCTCAGTGCGGGACTGGATCGTGAACGCGCTTGTTGGCTGCAGTGCGGCTGCGGTATCCGGGAATGCCGCCGTCGATGGGCCATCGAAGTCAACCCATTCCCCGTCATCCGCGCCGGTACTATCGACCAGCAGGAGAGGTGCAAACTCCCATTCGTCATCATCCAGGAAAACCTCCCGGCTCGGGGGCGGAGGCGCTGCAATACGTGCTGCTGGATGATTTGCGGCAGCGACCTGACGACTGAGTCGCATGGTCAACCGTCTGACGTCCGTCTCTTCACAGCAGCCTTCCGCCAGTGTGAGCAGCATGCGCGATGCGCGCTTAGACCGGCGATCCTTGGTCCGGCGGCTCTGCCCACGCGCAGGGGCGGCACGCCTGGACTGCTGACGTGCGACAGGACGCCTGAGGGAAGGCTGTGCTCGCACTCGACGGCCGAACGTGGAAGTGTTGGCCCGACCAGTGTTGGGTGATGTGACGGATGGCGAGCGCGCTTCCGGGCGTGGCGCCTTTGCAGTGTGTTTCTTGAGAGGTGCCAGACCCGTCGCCAATGGGGCTGTGATGATGCGATTGATGTTGTTCGCCGTTGGTGAGCAAGCTCCTTGAGCGAACGACATCAGACGACGCGCGAAGTCTTGAGTGCCCGCGGAGAGTAGTGGGTCGTTGAGACGCTCAGCATTGGGGCTGGGCGGGAGAGGACTTCCGGGCTGCACGTCGGAAATCCATTGACGAATGTAGGTTGAGCGTTTCGGCTTAGTGATTTTGAGTTGTTGATCTGACGGATTGGCGCCCTCAGCGGCAGCTGCAACGACCGATGGTTGTGCAGGTGAACGTGCGATAGTTGGGCGAGCAGGGAGAGGACGGGGGCCACGCATGGGAGACGGCGAACGAGACAGAACGATCGTTGGACGAGCAAGAGTGCAAGTCATAAGATTATTCGTGGAATAGAAATGTGGTGGAAGAGCAGGGAGCGCTTGAACTGATAAGTCGTCAGCGTACTGTGGGCATGGAGATATGGTTAATTATACCTGCAGACGTCGAGGACTACTGGTGAAGAAACCGAGCCGAAAGCAAGGAAGGAAGAAAAGAAAGAATGGCGACCGAAGCCGGGAAGAACGAAGAAGAAACGGCGTCGGAAAGCGACGGGAAGAAAGGAGAAGGGGTATATAAGAACGGATGGTGGAGGGAGGTGACAGGACGCAGCAGTCTGGGATTGATGTAAATAGCGTGGGCCCGCCTCATGCAGGGATACCCGCGCTCGATGGCGGTGCCAGTCCGTCGCCGACGACTCCCGTTGCATAGACCATTAGGGGGTCCATCAAATACGCATGCTCTTTTGCAATCGCTTCAATCAAGCCACGCTTGGATCATGACACCGTCGAATGAAGGGATACGCGTTCTGCATTCTCTTGACAGATGCAGGCAGTGCGCAATAGATATCCGCCGAGCAGGCGGTCATGGGAGGGCGCCATGACAAGAAGAAGGAAAACCGGCAGTCAACCAACAACGTCGGTGATCAGAGATGTGATGGGAGGTGGCCAGTCAGATCAGGCGGTGGCGAAGCCTGCAGGTACAACCGACGTCCAGGGTGTGCACAGCCTGCTTGCTTGCTCGTCGTCTCCATCTCTGATTGGCGGATTCCCAGTCGGAGGACCGAGTGTTCAATCGATCAATCGTCAAAAGGGCGCCAAAGCAGTGCTCAGTAATCCTAATTGTGAGGTTCATTGCTTGATGCAGGTTTGGGCGACATCAAAGCCAGGTTCAAGAAGGTCGCCGACCGTCAACAGAAGCCGCGGTTACGATCGGGCCGGTTGCGAGCCTCGTGTTGGTTGTAATACGTCATTTGTTGCCACACCGCCATATGTACAGTACGAGGAGTATGTAGCGCGTACTATATATGAGCGTATGCTTACTACTTAACGACCGTTGGCTGATACTCGAGCCAAGCTTCGAACGTCCCCTACTCGACAACGTCTTGCATAGCAATCTCCGACGCGTTGAAACAAGGAAGCCACGCATCCAAAGCCAGCCCAAACAAGCCCATTCCCGTATAGAACGGCGCCTGCGATATAGGGCTATAGAAGCCCACGGTCATGAAGTCGGTATGATTGGCGTCTGGTTCAAGAAGAACACGTAGGTCGGACGCATGCACCATCCCGTCGTGTGTCAGGCCGAAGAACGTGGACGTGTTCGCGGGCGAAGTGTTGCAAGGTGGGACGGCCGGGCTCGGGATACGCATGGGCGAGTTGGACTCGATAGATGCCAGGCCCATCGTTCGCCACGGATCGACTAGAGGCGCGGTGAGCAAATGTGATCGCGGAAGGTGATAGTGCCAGTACTCACATTCGCCATTCGTGAAGAGCACATTCGACGGGTTCATAGTCCATCCTCCATACTTCAGGATATTCTCCACCTTCGGAGGTCCCCGTATGTCTGGGAAGGTCTCGTTACACTGCGCCTGGAAGAGGTCAAGCGATTCGAAGCTGGTCTCGATGGAGAGCGGATTCGATGGGTCTCCGCGTTGATAGAAGCCGTATTCTGAACAATACTGTCGCATCCACGCTAGATCTGTGGCCGGATCGTCAGAGCTCGGGATATCGTCATAGTCCACCTGCGCGATAGCGCTGAGGAAAGCGTCCAGAACGTCCTCGACGGGCATGGCAGAGATCAACCCGCCCTCCATTGGTTCGGCGGTCCCGTTCCGCGTTTCAACAATGTTGCAGAAGGGAAGCACCGACGCAGCGAAACCATAATACTGAGGATTGTATGAGCGCCCATTGATGCTTGATGGGGCTACATGCGCACCTGATAGAAGTTTAGCGGGTCCATCAGGACGCCAGCGGCGTCGGAATTGGATGCCTCAGCCGCTTGTGCGGCGGAGGCCGTGATGTTCTGCGTCGGCGAACTGGCGCGGGCGCTCAGGAGGCGAACCTTCATATCGGTTTGAGCCTCAGCCGTTCCATTCGCTAGCACATCATCCACGTATCTGTGCTTGACATGAGTCTTCTCCCGCGAGAGATGTTGAATGATAGACACGAACCGCGTGACCGCTACCCAATCCGCAGAACAGTTCCTCGTCAAACTCCTCTCTGCAGCCTCGTAGTACGACGCCATATCAATCTGCGCTTGAACGGGAGCGGAGCTTGCCCACACGGCGTAGATAACCTCCGGGTTTCGCACGCGCATCAGAGCACCTCGTACGCCAGGGTACGACGCGCCGAGCCAAACCCAGGGTGTACGCGATGGATGACGGGCGGATTCTCCAGTCGAGGTATCCGAACTCCCGTTGGAAGAGTTGAGAGAGAAGTGGTTCGCGAAGAAGACTACGTCTTCGAGAGCTTGCTCCGTTGTCAGATACTGCCATTCATCCGCTGTCGTGTTGTGCTGTAAGGCGAGTGAGCGCCCTCGTAGCTCTGACATGGAAAGTATGGGACTTACATTGATGGGAAAGGGCTGAGATGCACCGTAGTATCTGTGCTCCCAAAGGACCGCCACGCCACCGTACCGCTTCGCAAACTGCATCGTGGCCGATAGACCATGGTACTCCTACGGTTAGATCAGGAAGTGCCATGTGATGACCAAGTAGTTGGTACTCATACCTGCAAATAGTAAGGTAGAAGTGGCTCTGCGTTTTGTTCGCCGGAGTCGAATACTGATAGCGTCGTGTGTGAATACAACGGCACATGGTGTTAGGATCGCACGCACGGAAGACCGGGCCGCCGGGGACGTAGTATGTGGCGTTGACCCAGTATCTGTTTCTGAAGGTGGTTGTGCTCGTATTGGAGAAGTGATCGAGAGGCATCTGCATGGCGAGATCAGCGAGGGAATGGAAGGGCGCGGATGAACTGCACACACGTCAATGAAAAGCGCATCATTCACTGAAAGTGATTTGGGCAGGCCAGCTGGTAAGCGCTCGCGCGGTGAAAGGCGCGGTAAGTGTGTCCAAGCGGAAATCCAGACGCCAGAAGCGATGCATGACAGAAGAGATAACCGCATTCGAGTGAAGCACGTCTTGTCGTAAGGCGCAGAAGGTGAAGTAGCGGATGGGCAGCGGCGACTTTTATATGACAACATCGCAAGGATGGCTCCTGAGAGAATCTATCCATGAACAGCCACAACGAAGCAGCATGAACCAATGCCACACGATACAGGTGCAGACGATGCAAGTCTCTGGTCACGAGCCGCCCTTCTGCCGAGCGGCAGAAGCACGTCGATCCCAACTCCACTGCAAACGAAGCATCGTGTTATCAGTACAAGTACAAGCATGACATCCCATTACAGTATCCGAGATGGTGCAGAAGCGCGACCGTTATCGTATTCGCGTAACATGTCGTTCACCGGATCGCCAGACTCAATATGAGCGCGAAGACGCACATGCCTCCGACGCTGAAGAACGGGATGAAGTAACCCGACGGGTTTCCTTCCAGTGCAGTGCTCCATATCTGCAGTTCGGATCGTGAGTAGGTCTATTGACGCGATCTAGGCAGGAGTGCATGTACATAGCCGCCCAAAAGCGGCCCGAAGCACCGCGCTAGACTGATTATACTTTGCGCGATGCCGTTCGCAAGTCCAACAACAGGCGGTGGCGACACTGAGGGTATCAGGATCAGGTGGATTCAGATGGGACGGAAAGGGACATACATTGGTTGACAAGGATAGCCACAGAGGTATATGCGATCGTGCTACCGCAATAGCGCACTGCAGAAATCAGAAGAAGACCTTCGAATGTTTGTGAGTGCGAGAGGTATTGCGAACGTAAGATGCGGTACTGACCGGCAGCTAAGCCTCCATCATTCCCGCGTGCTCCCACAAGAAAATAGAGAGCAGGTGAGGCGATATAGGCAGAACAGAAGAGTGCAGTTCCGAGTTGAAGCATGCCAAGATGGGACACGCGAGTGCTGCAGCTATACATCAGACTCGCTGTGAACCTGGATGATCCGTATGAACGTACCCCAGAGCCGGATAGAGATAGAACTGATAGACGATTTGGAACAAACGCATTGTGGCAGCTGTACCGGACGCGGTCTCAGTCAGCCGTATTGTATACGGGTTGCACTAGACACTGACTGAGGACTGAGAATGCAGACGCAGTCAAATTCAGCCCTCCAGCCTCAGGCTCCCTGCCACGATCATGAGTAGCTGATCTGAGATACGCGGTTGGCAACGTACGAGACAAAGTACGACATGAAGAACATATCATGGGCAGTAGAATGCAACGCGAGTATCCCATACTGCGCGATGATCTGCCACGGAAGAGACCACACGGGGTTCGCCTCAACGTAGTCTTGATCCTCGTCTTCTTCATCTTCCTCCTCAAAGTAGGGTGGATACGTCAAGCTGAGCGTGCGCGGAGCGAGGCCTGCACCCCACCCTCCCGCCGAGCCATGTGTGCGTGTACGCGAGTGAGTGCGATTGCGGCGTGAGAGTGATGAAGCGCGATTTTGACGGCGCGGCGAGCGCGTATAGGCGCCGAAGTCGGATGGCAGGGGTCCTTTTCCGGCAGGAAAGGGCGGTTGCTTGAGGTGCGTAGAGGTGGCACTGCCAGGATCATCGTGTGGAGGGAAGAGGTCAGCCCATGATAGCGTCTTGACGAGGGAGATGGTGCGAGCGGCCATAGATGTACCAGCGACCTCATCGTGATGCGTCGCATCGATGGTGTCGTCAACATCCCCAAGAGGAGCATACGCCTGAGGGTCCGTGCCGCCGCCGACTTCTGCGCTAGCGCTTATAGCGGCCGCCGTCCAAAGATCCGATATGCTGGATACGTTGTTCTCGTTCGCGAGCGCAAAGCGTTCCACGAACCCGGCCTCATCACGCACCTCATCACGCAACGACGCGCGCGACGTTGTGACAGTCCGTCGCAGACGGCGAGAAGAGCTCTCGACGCTTCGCCGGCGGCTGGCGGTGCGTATGCTGGACGTGGCTCCGTAGCCACGAGTGAAGCGGGATACCCGCACATTTGCTTCAGAGTCGATGTCCCTATTCTCCTGCGTAGTCGACAACAGAGGTGCTCCTTCTGGTATAGTCGGTGGTAGAGCGAAAGTCGTCGTCTTCTCTACGTGTGGCGGGGTAGCGCGAGTACGTGGTCCACCGTCCGGTGCAAGGAAGATCGAAAGGATGGCGCCTGAGACTGTCAGCCTTCCATTATGGACAGTGCAAGAGCGAAAGGCTCACCTGTGAGCGTAACGGATCCGGCAACGATAGTAGGCAGGAGATAGGGATAGTCGACGAAGACCGGAAGAGATCCAAAGACTGAAGGCCACTTGAGTGCTGGAGACTCAACTACACAGAGAGCATTAGACGACGAAGAACGAGAGGAAGGTGGGGGGACGAACACAAGCCCCCGATAACTGCTCCAGCAACACCGCCCAGACCCCAGCAAAAGCCGAGGATCGCATATGCTCTGCTCTCGTTACTGGTATCCGTCACGCCTGATACGCAACCACGAGCGACGCCGATGGCTCCTGCGAATACACCTTGTGCAAACCGGATGACCGTAGCCTGGGTCAAGGTCGTCGACATGCCGAATAAGCCACAGGTGATGGTCGCGCCGAGGAGAGATGTGGTCAACACGAAACGGTTGTTGATTCGCACAGCGATGTTTGCCTGCCGGATAAGATGAGACATGCCGGGAGGGTTTAGCGAAAGCTCGTGCAACGTACCCAGAGGAGTGATGTGATGAACTGGCCAACGAAGAAACTGGCGACTGGTGCTCGGTGTCAGCGATCGAACACGCTGCAAGTGAGCGAAAATACCTAGAGCACCAGCGAAGGGGCTCACGTCGTCGACACCCTCCATATCTGTAAAGCCTGCCACGACATTAGCGCAAGAACCATAGTAGTAGGTGCACGAGACGCTAACCTTTGACCATGAAAAGAATGAACGGCAGAGAAACATTCGCCGTCAGGAACTCTCCCAGTATAGTCTGCACGAAGTATGAGCAGCAAGAACCACAATAGGAGATAGAACGACGCACAATGGAGAGAACAGTGACTGAGAGCGCCGGTAGCGGCGTTTCGCCCGCCGTTCGAGTCAAAGGAGGAACAGCCGTCGCTGGCAGGACCTCCGACACCATACTTGGCGCACGAGCGCCGATAGGATCGTAGGTCGAGTAGCGGCTAAGTGAAGGACCACGAAGGCCATCTCCCACCGCACGCGGCAAAGAACGAAGAGACATGTTATCGCGCTACTCCCCTCACTCGTCACAGCCCGCCTGTACTTGTACTGAGAGCCACCTCACATCCCAGCTCGCCAGCCAAAATGCCGCACGCGCGACCCTTCACTATCATAGGCAGACAATCACGTTGTGAGCATGTTCCGACGCGACCCTGTTCCGTCTTAGGGTCGTGGAGAGCGCGAATCTTCTGCGCTATTTTGGCCAGTCGATGGAAGGAGGGTGGGGCGCTCTTCGAGAAGTCGGGTTCTCCACCTCCCAATCGGGGTTGTCGTGTTCGGAACGTGCTCTCATGCTCGCAGAGGCGGCGATAGGGATGAGATTCGAGGGGACGGGCGGGATGCATGGACGCCGGAGGCCCAAGGGAGGCTTCTATATTCCGGACTTAGAGACGCCTGCGCGCACGGGACAGCTCAGGTGAACAAGGAATATGTGCATGTAGTATATGATTAGAGACGTTCGGAGAACGGCCAGCGGCTGGCGCGGATGATGAGGGTAGGAAGCAAGTGAGTAGACATGCGTGTGAGCCGCCGTTGGTGCCCGTCTTGCCTTTTAACTTCCACAACCATGTCCGCCTGTTGTAGCCGCATCTTGAGCCGATGGTGACTTTATGTCGCTTGCGAGTATCCTGTCTCACCGGACAATGGAAGGAGTCGAGCGGGCGGCTTGGTATAGCTTGATTTAGTAACTAGTATTTACCGAATCGCCAGCTCGTTCAGCGCGCGCCTACTTATGAATGCGGCAGCCTTCCGCGACACTTTCTTCTCACTTGGTTCTTCACGCGCCGCACCATCGCGTCCGCGCTGAGCAATGCATACGTACGCAGTGCTACATGAGGCGCGGTTCTGGATAGATGTTAGGATTATATGGCAGAAACGAGGTCAGACATGCCATTCAGACGCGCCGCATGAAAGCCGGCCTGCTTATTTCGCCCGACGGAGGTGTGTGCGCTCACTTGCGCCCTGCGGCAGGTAACGAGGAAGTTGAGTGACCGAGCCCTTCTCCTTACATGCGGCCTCCGAGTCCGCGGCTAGATGTGCGCTCGTCCAGATTTATGTACCACGAATCATGATCAGCTTGCCCTAGGCTGCTTCCACGAAGCTCCCTCGCTTCTTGCTAGCCTCGTGCTACGAACTCTAAGCAGACATCTACTTCAAGAACCCAGAAGCACGGTTACTCTGGGTTCTACACAAGCCGCCGGGACGCGATGTTTAGCGCCGCGGCCGGGCCAGTTGTATCGTCTCGGCCCGGTTTCTGTGCGGGTGGTGCACAGACTGCAATGTAATCCGGCGGGTGTCCTGGGAGAGGAAGGCCTCTTGCTTGTATAGACCTGCGGTCTTCTGTACGAGCAACGGCACCTTGTGCAGCTTCTGAGCTTCAGTGGTGTATCACTTCTTTTGTGAGCCTGACATGTAAGGGGGGCTGGTAGTATGGTCGTTGAGATGTTGGTTGTTGAGAGAGAACGTATCGATGATGGATGCAGCATTAGTCATCAGGTGTTGTAAGGTATATCGGTGTACAGAGAAGTACACAGAATGTCATTTGAGATATTCCTAGTTGTCAACTCTATCGCGAACGCGACTTCCACCAGCGAGCCCAACACCTACGCGTGCACATGGCGGCACGAAACAAAAAGGGTTCCCAAGCCACATGATCGCGAACTGATCGCCACAGAACCGGGCATGCAATCGGGCTGCCTCAGCCCGCCCACCACCACGCACGCGCGGTCTCAGGCCCTCAGCCGCCGAAGCCGTCTCGCCCAGCGCCCTGCCCAACAATCCTACATATAAACACGCTCGCCGGCTGGGAAAGCGTATACGTCACGCGGCTCTCCCACTCCAGCTCAGCGCTCAAGAAGCTAGAGCTGATCCGTCTTAACAATCGACCTAGTACAACGACCAACGACTAAGGCAATGGCGTCCTTCGCACCTAGCTCGTCTACCTCTTTCGATCCTATAGTCCGCCCGCCAACACCCGCGCCCTCGCCCGGCCCGGACCCGCGCCTCTTCCCGCACGGCATCGACGCCACCCTCAACACCGAGCAAGTGTGCCCACCCCCACCAACACCATCTTCGCCCAGCGGAATAGCATCTCAATTCTCCGCCCTCGCCCCTTCCGCGCGCCTCGCGGCGCTCCAATCGCTCGTCCCGCTCCTCACGCCCCCCGAAATCACCCTCCTCCAATCGCTCCTCCTCCCGCTCTACAAGCGCGACTTCATCTCCGACCTCCCCACCGAGCTCGCGCTGCACGTGCTAGCCTTCGTCGACGAGCCGAAGACGCTGGGCAGGGCCGCGCGCGTGTGTAGACGGTGGCGCGATATTGTGCGCGAGGATTGTGTGTGGAGGGGCGTTTGTGAGCGGTGGGAGTATCGTTGGCCGCAGGAGGGGGAGGAGGGGGGGATG